AAGTTCCGTTTTTTTTTTTTTTCGACAGCGTGTTAGTGTACTTGTAAGATCTTGGTGCATAGTGATTCTAAAGGTTTGTACTGATTCGTGATTGTGCGCGGAAGAATTTTTTGTTTTAGTAGTGATTTTAAGTTCTGTTCAGTAGTGTTTTTATTTTTTAGCATTAAATGTTAGTAGTGGTTTCAAATCAATTTTATACTTCTATGTAGTATGTAGTAATATATTTTTTTTACGATTATGTTTGTTTAGTAGTTTGTTTGGTAGTGATTTTTAGTTTTGGAAAATTTATAGTCATTTTCTATCATATAACGTTATAGCATTAGTTCCCCAATAGTAGTAGCCTTTGTTGGACTTGTAGACGTCGCCGGCCATACACTGCAGTCTGCACTCAACCATCCTCCATCACGATCTTAAAATCACAATTATTTTGACTTTTTATTACATTATTATATATGTTCTCTCTGAATTATGTATTTATGACTATATACTTTTCCTTACAATGGGTTTCTTGCATCCACCAAAGAATCTAGCTAGCTAGCAAATGAAGAGTCTGGAAGTGCCACCCTATTTAGGAGATTTAATCTTCAAAAGTTTGTATATTTATGAGAAAAGGAATACCGAAGTGCCATCCCTATTAAGGAAAGGAATATTCAACATGTTATACTGAAGTGAATGTAAGTTAAACTTTTCAGTGGCGGATCCAGGAAATATATATAGGGGTGTCCTCTTCCAAAAATTAAATTAAATATTATAATTAAATTAAATAATTATTAAATATAAAAATATCTGACCAATAAAATTTACATCTACATAGGGGTGTCCTCTTCCAAAAATTAAATTAAATAATTATTAAATATAAAAATATCTGACCACTAAAAATTACATTAAAAGTTCATAGGTGGTTCATAAAATGTTAAAATACATTCGGTGTCTATACTGCTTAACAAATATCTCTCGACATATCTTATTAGACAAGGGTATCTGATAATTGTGTTTAATCGTTAAGTTTTGAAAATAATTTGGGATAAGGATAACATTTTACTATTATATTTGGATCTAAAACACAATAACAAATGCGTTGTAGTTTGAAAATAGGTTTACTAATAATGATAGTGTCTCAAGTTTAAATCACATATACTGCTACTTAAATATTATTTGTACCAATGCGCAAACTACTACGGGAGGTTGGATAATCATTTCTCCAAAATTTAAGGGTGTCCCAATACCACTTAAACAATTTTTACTTATACGCAAACTACTATCGGAGGTTGAATAATCGTGTTTTCAAATTTTAGGGGTGTCCTGGGACACCCCTAAACATGCATGTATCCGCCACTGAAACTTTTTGTTTTGTTCTGTGATAAAATTATGCACGAGTACCATTGACATATATAGTCCGCTTTAGGAGATTTAATCTTCAAAAGTTTGTATATTTATGAGAAAAGGAATATTCAACATGTTATACCGGAGTGAATGTAAGTTAAACTTTTTGTTTTGTTTTGTGATAAAAATTATGCGAGAGTGACGTTGACATATATAGTCCGTCACAATCATATCGATCCAAATTAAAACATCAGGCACATGATTACTTCATTGATGAATTTGTACATCAACAAAACTAGTTTCATACAAATCACAAAAAAAACAGACCTAATATCTCAAATCACAATAGGTTTGCGCATGCTAAAGGTTCGCGCACAACCCTTCTCTACCGCATTTATGGCCCAAAGCCAATCCCTAGAACCCGAGATTTCGCGCGAATCTTATTGTACCCAGAGGAAAAGGGGATTTTGTGCAGATTTTTTATAGATCAATACACACGGATGAGGACTATCAAGAGGCTCTATGTACTTCATTCCGTTTACCCTGCCTTCCAAATTCGACATTTCTCATTTAAAATAGAATAAGTAGGATTCAGGTGATAACAACCAAAACCGATATCAACTACCGAACAAATTAACTGCATAAAAAGTGTTAAAGCATCATCATATCACCATCCTCTAACACTGTTCATACAACCCATCGTCCTATAGATTGAACAGACACAAACCAAACAATTGAAAAGAGAGCGTGATCATCAGTAATTGGAAATCAAAGAGAGAGAGCCATGGACATGGCCAGCAGGCCACTTGAAAGGGAATGTTGTGACTGTGGTGTTTCAGTTAGTCACATCCTATATAGCTAGATACCCAAGTTGTTAATTATCATCTTAAAAACAACAATAAAGAGGATGATAATATATTGCAAGATATACAGATATCTCACTCGACAAAGTGAAGGTCCACCTTAAAAACAAACTTGTCTCGTCGACCAAAACATAATCACACACCCACCACTACTATACCCTCTTTTCTTTTTTCTCTTCTCCTCCAACCTGCCTGACCTTTTAACTTCTCTCGGACTGCATGCCTTTAGGGCTTAGTTTACTGTCCATGATTGCTTTCCAAGATTTTTTGAGAACGACCTTAGCTGTTGTCTCCAAGAGGCTTGTCCTGTCTGCCACGTGTGCTTGCTAGCTAGCTGCTCTCCATCACTCAACCAATACTTGGTCCTCCTCCTTGGTCCATGCATGTTGATTATTATTGGGTCAGTTAAAAACCTAAAACTTTGAATGACATGTTGATTGTGAATTCAAGTTGAGTCACCATGTTGGTTTTTCCAAACTTGAATGACCGCTAATTAACCATATACATATATATATCATAAACCAACTGCTTTCACGCTCATCGATCGAAAATCAACTCATAGTTCTGAAGTTTGTGTAGGCCTAATATACCATGTGTTTTAAGACAACAGTTAATATTGGGTGTCGTACGTAATGTTTTGGAAAATGTGACTTCAAGGACAGACCAACTCTCTGATATCATGTCATGAACCAGTTGTTCCAAAATAACTCGAGTTATTGGGAGAAGGTTAATTATATATTTTATACTACTTTCTTACAGACCCCCTTAAACGAAAGCCAACTCATGAACTTAAAGTTTGCACCGGTCCACTATACTCTGTGTTGATATTAGGATCGTGGAGATTTGAACACAAGACCACTTGCTCCAACGAGCTCTAATACCCATGTCATAAACTAACTGGTCCCAATAACCCGAATTGTTGGAGATGTTCATGTATAGATCTTAGCCACTTCTTATCACATCTCCTCAGACGAAAACCTAACTGATTCTACTTGAAATTTACACAGACCCGCGTCATGTCATACGTATTAAGACAACTCTTGATATTTGGAGTCGTGAGAACTTGAACCGCTGTCAAATATGCAAAAAAAAAGGTGCAGGCTCCACATAAATCTTGAACCAGGCTGGTTTAGTTAATAGAGATCTTATCGTTTTAGCCGGTTTCCTTTGGCCTTTCAAACGCGATAAACAAAAATGGGGGTGGTCGAATTGTAGGGCAGCTACCCTTTTGGTGGCTAAGCTTTAACATGGCAAACTTGGGACATCTACATATGATTAGACACGCTTGGATTGTGACACAGTCAGTTCGATCTGGGGTTTGAGAGTGGTGGTGGACACCACGTTTCCTGTACAAGATAAGATAAGGCTACACGTGACCCCGTAGTTAAGTTCTGATTGAAAGCCAAAAAATACACAGATTGAAAATAAGCCTGATTATGAGTGGGAAAGCGAAGTTCATTGGCCAAGAACAGGCGAGGGTATGGCCTATTGGGCTTTGAGTTGGGGAAAAGGTTAAGACCAGAAGTGAAAGGGGTGCATGTGATCCCCCACGTGGGCTTGAAGGTACAAGTGGGCCTCCATTGTTGACAAGGCCTCATTGTTTACATGCACCTGGTCCCATTCTAAGTTGATAAACAAAGGGGCCGTGATGGTTAGAGTAGTGTTTGTTGAATACATGTATTATTATGCACAATACAATGTTTGAAAGTGTCAAAGTGTTAAACAATGCTTGCACTGTTTTATGTATATCCCACCAACAATCACAAAAAATTATGCATTATACAATCTCAACTAAAAAGTTGTGATTGTTTGATTTATATTTGTGTCAACTTTTTCTTTCTATTTAGATCCTCAATAGTTTTTGTCATATTCTAAAAGTTGAGGGTAAATGTGACATTTTCTCATAAAAGTAATTTTATGTAAATCAATGTATAAAGTAGAATCTCAACAACCAAACAATGTATTGTTAAAATGCATCCATTGTATCAATACATACTACAATTATATTATGGTGATTCGTTACAATGCAACAATTTAACATTCGGAACTTCCAAACGAATCCTAATTAATTAGTGTTTTGTCTCAGTTGTTAAGGGTGAGCATGCAGTGAGTACGTAAAGTACCTTCTGTGCAGAACTTGATTAAATTATCATCATCTGCAATGAACAAATGCCAGGTTAACTATTCGACAAATCGAATGAATCTTTCGTTATCACTGCGTTGAGAATGATTTTATACCACTACTTGTGTTCTTATTATTGTTCCCAGCAGCATGCTTAATCTAATTATATTATTAGATGATGTTACAGACAACAAACTATAATAGCTGATTAATTGTTCATTGCTGCTTGTATATATGCTCCTTTTTGGTCCTTGTTACGTAGTACTAATTAAATCGAGACAGTAACTCCACAGCCTCGTGTGGTTTCCCGAAATGGATCGATGCAGACAACAGTAAACCTTTCCTTATAAACTGCTTCCCAACCTCAGCTGGTTGGTGTTCATAATAAAAAAATAAAAAAAAAAAACCCATCTTTGGCCTTTTTTCTTTTATAAGGGAAGTTGAGAGCTTAATGGAGACATTGGAGACAAAGGTAGGGCATGGAAATTTTAGAGATAAGCTGTGGTGGGGAAACCCTTTCCCTCACAAAACTATAAATCTTCTCATTAAGTTTCCAGGTGGCTGTTCTGTCAAACAGGACACACCTACCTTTCTTTCTTTCTTCTCCTCCCAGGCCCCCCTTTGCTCTTGTATGCATGCTGCAGGGTCTATATATATACACACACTCCCAACTCCAACAATCACTTTCTTCTGGAAAATTCAAGCATTCTTCTTTCTCTTTGTTCTTGATTTTCTCTGCTGTTCATCATGAAGGGGAGGCATTACCTGGGATGGATGAGGCCGCGGCGGCTTCAGAAGCAGCTTCCACAGTTGATTTCATGGCGGAGGGCGGTGAGGGAGCAGAGGACTCGTCTCTACATCATCTGGAAGTGCTCCCTCATCCTTCTCAATTGGGATTCCGACCACGACGAGGACGAATAAACCGACTTCAACTTTGAGTTCTGTATCTCCCTACTTCCATCTGTTTGATGTTCAATATATACAAGGCCGTAGCTAGCAGCTGTAAAGATTAATTCGATCTGCAGAAGCTCATGTTTGTACACGTACTGGCATGCACGTACGTTGTATAAAAATACACATGCATAATACGTACGTTTGTATGGTAGGATTTCCTTGTACTTGGGGGATGGGGGAAGCAAAATTTATGAGACAGTAGTCCACTAGACTACCCTTTTTTTCATTTATATGCTACAATGAAATTTTGTACTTCATAATTTAAGGCACAACAGTGGGCAGGATCGGATGCATACAAAAAAAAAAGAGAAAAAAATTGGATCTCTCATTCTCTGAGTATCGTTGCCTCAAAAAATTACAGGATCAAGATCAAAACTCTGCAGCCAGTGGCATGGAACTTTGTTATGTACTATGCTATGATCTCTTGATCCCAAAAGGTTCTGCAGCGACATCGACACTTCCTCCTAATGACCTCGGGGTACTCGAATCGTGGTCGGATTTCCTCGGGGTTTGCCCCGACTTCCCCTGCCCACCCTGTGAAATTAATTTACCAAATCATAAACAACATGACAAAGAGATGAATAAGATAGCAACCTGGGGTCGACTTAAACCACTTACAGGGCCTTTGTTGGCTGTTATTAACCTTCGACCTGATGGTACTCGAGCCAATGATGATGCTGCAGCAGCTGCTGCTGCCACACGAATTCTGCAGAAAGAAAAAGGAAGTGTAGTTTAGAATGGAACACATACGCAACCGGAAAACTGGTTTTTGTTAGTCATTAGGTTCATACAAGTCTTTTTGGTTTCCAGTAAACCATTAGGATGATTCATGTCGATACCTTTTATGAACATCAACGTACTCATCTGTTTCGTCCACAATCTCCTCCTGCAAAGTTAACAAGACCAACAGTATCGTTAATAATATAATGGCCAACTGAAATCAACGTTTACAGATGTAGCTAGTCAATGATAAAGGGCCGGGACTTTGTCATATGTACCTGCAGGAGTTCTTCGAACACATCCTCTAAGGTGATGATACCAATAACTTCACTATCCTCTATATCTTGATCTGATTGTTGAGGCAATCCGTACCCGGCCCTTGGACTTGCAAACCTATCAATATCCACAACAACACTCCCAGGCGTTTCCTCCACTTTGGACAGCAAAGGAGTCGTTAGCTGATCTTTCCCTGTTGCTTTGTTTTCTTCTTGTTTCTCAGTCTTGCTTTTCCCTTTGGCCCGAACAACAGCTGCCATATGGCTACTTCCCTTCTGAAACTCGTTTAGTATATCGTACAGTGGCATATCTGACGGTACCCTGGAGAGGTTAATTGTCATGAGTGAATATCTCTTTTGAATCCCCATAGCAAGAGAAAAGAAAGGAGAAACACGAGAGAAATAGATACACTAAGAGTTTACCGTGGAATTCTTCGGATTGAGACAGCACTGACAGGGGTCTCTGTTTCAGGTCTTACTGTGAGAAGACTTTTCACCTAGTACCACACATAGTATGAAGTATATTAGAAAGATGGTGATTGTCAGAGAGTGAACATACTCACTTCCAGCTTTTTTTTTAAAAAGCTCGCTCACCAGGAGAAGTCCAATGACATTCTTGGGGTTTCCAGAATAGACAGGAACTCTGCTATGTCCTCTTGCCAGAACTTTACCCATTGCCTCCCTGCACGCATATCAGCATTTCAGGGGAAGAAGCAGAGTAATGCACGTCAAATGATGGATGGACTAGAGGAGAGGATATAGATACCACGCAGAAGAAAGAGACTAATTACCAGTCCAACTTGGAGTTGACATCTAAGGAGAAAGTTGATTCTATAGGTGTCATAGCCTCTTCAGCAGTCTGTTACCAAAATAATTAAAATGACAATAAAAAGGCGATAGCTTCAAATCTTGAGATTTCCCAACCAGAAGAATCAGAAAGTTCACTCAGAAAAGTAGAATACATTCCTGTGGCAATTGGACACTAAGAGCACCTCAGGGACAACATTATCATTCAAAACCAAACTTGAATCGAGATGAACTGTTGCTTCTTGAACAGAATATATTAAGTTAAGTGCATAACTGAAACCTCTGCCTTGGAATCCAAAATCACTGGAGTAGACAGGAAGAACCAAGATACATGCTTTTTCACAAGCTACTTTGAGTTGATGCTTACCTTCTCAGTTAGATCTAATGCCCCAGCTATAATCGTCGTCTCATCATGTGTAAGTTCACCTCCTTTCCCAGCCTAGATAGACCGAAAAATTACTCAGTTAGACACACACAAAAGATGAAGAAAAAGATATTATCTTTGGGCAGCTTTGATGGATAACCGTGAAGCTGATATTTCATTACCTCCTTACTGTGGATGGAAACAAGGGCTTTCAGCTGAGCCCGCCTAAATAGAGCTTCATTATGCCCCAATACACAGTCCAACATCTGAATAAAGAAAACAAAAAATTTATGACAAAATGAGGCTATGAATAACGGAGAGATTCCTACTAATATATAGCTAATTCTGCATCTTTTCATATGCTACTACAAGCATAGCATTCATTCTGAGTAGCTGGTACACTGCAAATTTCATTGATAATGGATAAAGAAGAAGTAGAAAAGTACCATTGGTGAATGGTGATTGTTACCTTTCCAATAGGATACGATATGGGATAGCAAATGATCATCAGAACTCGCACAAGCCAAGCAAGATTGGCACCCACGGCGAGTCCATATCTGGAGCATATTGCTTGTGGAATAACCTACTCCCATAAAAGATACCTATTACTAATTAGGGCCAAACATAATTCCATGATGGAAACCATAAAAAGGTAAAAAGAGCTCAGCCATAGAGAAGCTCATTCGACGTATACAAAAAAGCACATATACCTCCCCGAAAAACAGAACAAACGTCACTGAGAGTATAACTGCAACATATTGGTTGAACATCCTGTCCAGATATATAGGTAGAGCCTGCAATTTTGAAAGCGGTCAATTGTCAATTTATTGCTTGCACTAAGCTAACAGACCTCAAGAGTCGACGCCACAAATCAATTTTGTGGCGTTACTAGGGTTCAAACGAGAAATCCAAATCTCTGACTAGTTGGAAGCGTTCTTTCTAATTCTTGACAGCGCAATTGAAGAGGCGAGAGGAGGAATTCTGCTGTAAAATTACCTCCATTGCAGCGGCATTGCAGAGAAGTAGAGTCACCAGAAGTTGATGCTGCTTCTGAACCACCGGAAGTATACCCGCTGCACAACAATTCCCCACGGGCAAAGCCAAATTCAGAACACACATTCGTGCAAATTCCAATCGAGCGAAGTCGGTGGTCCAATTTCGGCAAAATTAGAAAGGAATCGAAGGAATCAAGAAGGAGAACAGGAAGGGAAAGCAAGTCAGCTTATAACACAAATCACGGCGGGAGGGGCACCTGCTTGTTTCTTCTCGGCGACGGTACCGCTGCGCTGGAGGATTTCGAGGTCGACGAGGCTGAGAGACATGAGGCCGAGCGTGAGGCCGGACATGAGGCCGGCGAAGATGACGAGAAAGCAGGAAATGCCGGCGTAGACGAACCAGGTGACGGTCCCGTAGGGTATCTCGTCGCCGGACCCGGATTGGGACATCGTCGAGACCATCCTCGTCGCGATCACCGCGTAGAGAGGATGCATCTCTCAGCGGGAAGAATGTTGATGATTCTTGCGTTATGGATCCCCCTTTTTCTGGCTTCCGGTACGTTCTGTTTGATCGTGTCCGTTCGATTGCGTTCCGTGGCGCGGAGGAGGGAAGATTCCGACTTCTGTGACCGGATGAAGGACGGCCGGAGGTGGAGACGAAGGATAGAGACAGAGTCAGAGAGGAGAAAGGTGAGAATATTGCTAAGGGACGATGGATGATTGGATTCAGTATTTTACCAGTGTAAGGGCACGTGGCCGACTGCCGGGGGGCCGGGGATAAATTGATGTAACTGGAAAAAAATTGGGCTTAATGCGTAAATGGCCACCAAACTATGATGTATTTGCAATAATGGTCACTAAATTTTCAATTTTTAGTGGCAACTTGATGAAGTTAGATTATAAAAAAAAATGGGCACACGGGGATCTGGTGTACTTGATTGGACGAGTGAGGAATATTAGTTGGAGGTTTTACTAATTTATTGTGGTGGTTAGGGACCGTACTTATAATCTGTTTTGAAATTGTTACAGCCCTATAAAATAACATACATCAGATCTGCATGTAGGAGGTTTTCTTTCCTCAGCTATTCCAGCCTGTTAATGAACTGAAGTCAAATGTCGTCAGTACATAAACGACTGCGCATTGTGTGATGCAGTCCAATGGGCTGGGCCGGCCATCAAGGAGGGATGAATGGGCCGCGCGCGACACTCATTGTGTACTTGGTTCGTTCTTTGATTGGTCTATCTCCGGCACAAGATTTTGTCAACTTTTTATTTTTTTTTTGGTAGAGAAACGGGATGCTACGGGCATCCCAACCGCTAACTAACAATCATCCGGGAAGTTTCAATCCCAACCAAATCATAAAACAGCCAGTAATTTAGTAACGAATCCGGCTCATCATAGAGGTACACCCCCTGCTGGATCCTGTGCCCGGCCGAAGCCAGGTAATCAGCGACGAAATTACCTTCCCTGTAAACATGACGCAGCTCAACCTGCCAATCCATAGCCAGTAGCCGGCGAGCCTCCTGCACCAAGATGAAATGGGGATGCCGGTTACTAGCCTCCTTAACGAGCTTGATGGCAGTTTGCGAGTCCGTTTGTACTACTATCCTCCTCATTCCCTCATTCCACGCAATCTGTAATCCCTTCACTACTCCTTCCAGCTCCGCTCTCGTAACAGAAACCTCCCCCAATCTCATGGAAAACGCCTTCAACATCCGCCCTTGCTCGTCCCTAATCACACCACCCGCTGCAGCTTGCCCATTCACCACTGACCCGTCTGAGTTCAGCGCAACCCAGCCTTGCGGCGGGTATTCCCACTTGATTTCTTGTCTGGTTTTACACTGTTGCGACCCATTACCTAGGACCCGCGCCACCGAAGCCGTCTCGACCCTCTGCGTCAAAAGCTCCGCCTGCCTCCTTATCACTTCTGGGCCTTGCAGTCCTTGCTCAAAGACATGCTTGTTCCTATTTTTCCATAACAGCCAGCAGGTATTAGCAAACATAGTGGAGTTCACAGTCTTGCTTCGCCCCATAAGGTAGTGAAGCGCCCATTTGGATCTATCTTGCTGGAAGAAGATTTCGTCGGGTTCGTCTCCAAGTATCTCCGCCCAAACTGCTCTAGCCAGCGCACACTCGCGCACCACATGGATTGCGCTTTCCTCCTCATAGTCACATATCGGGCACTTCTTCGACAAGCTCAAATGCCGACGTGCACGTTCGCCATTCGTAAGAAGCCTGTCATGCACAAACAGCCAGAAGAATGCTCGCACTCTCTGCATAGCCGGTGTTCTCCAAACCGCTCGCCACACCGGGTGACTGCCCCCCGGCCTCTCTTCCTCGTCCGTTAGCTCGTATGCCGTCTTCATGCTGAACTCTCCATTCGGTGTCAGCCTCCAAATAGGGATATCCTGGTCCGTTCCGCTGGGTACTGGGTGAAGCTGAATTTGGCTCACCACGCTCTCCGGTAGAAACACCCTCATATAGTCCGTATTCCACTCCCCATTCAGCCTCAGCTCCGCCACTCTCAGGTTGCTTGCTTCTTCCGGTAAGCTGCCCACATAATCGGCCAGGGGTGGCCCATCCTGCAACCACCTGTCATGCCAGAATAGCGTCTGGCCTCCACTTCGCACCATCCACATGGTAGCTTCCGGGACCAAATGCATTACCCGTAGCACGCCCCTCCAAAGGTTCGAGATCCGGCCCGTCCTTCGTGGAACTAGGCCCTCGGTAGTCCGCTTCATGTACTTCGCTCTGATTACCCGAACCCATAAGCTGTCCGGCTCCGTCATCAGTCTCCATAATATCTTCAGCATAAAAGCCTCATTCATTCTTTCGGCACTGCGAAGACCCAACCCTCCCTCCTCCTTCGGTCTGCACACTGTCTTCCAATCGACAAGATGGATCTTCCTCCCTGCCTCTGTGCTTCCCCAAACGAAAGCCCGGATCTTCCTATCAATGTAGTCCCAAATGCTCGCCGGCAGGAGAGTCGTCTGCATAGTGTACGCCGGCAGGGATGACAACACAGCCTGAGCTAACGTAATCCTCCCCGCCAAAGACATACTGCCTGCTTTCCAGCCCGCCAGTCTAGCATCTATCTTATCAATGAGCGATGTAAAGGTATTCCTTGACACCCTATCATGAATAATCGGTACTCCCAGGTACCTCCCCAAATTGTTCGTCGAGGGGATTCCTAGGGCCGAGCTCAGCTCCTGACTCCTAGCTGCCGTCACATTTTTCGAAAAATACACACGTGACTTCGGTTTACTAATCTGCTGGCCGGACGCTTCACCAAACTGGTCGAAGCATCTAAGAATAACTTCTACTTGCTCCAGCGAGGCCTCTCCGAAGAGTATCAAGTCATCCGCGAAGAAAATATGGGACAACGGCGGCCCACTACTCGACAACCTGATCGGTTTCCAGCTTCCCCCTGTGACCTCCGTCCCGATCAGCTGGCTCAGTCTTTCCATACAGAGGGTGAAGATATACGGCGATAGTGGGCAGCCCTGTCGAAGTCCTCGCGATGGGTTGAAGGCGTCCGTCAACCCTCCATTCCACTGAATCTGCATTGTAGCTGTTGAAATACATTGCATCGTAGCTGCAGTAAATTGGGCTGGCACCCCAGTAGCTGCCAAAGTCTCCTCCACAAACTTCCATCGGATACGATCGTAGGCTTTGGCGAGGTCAATCTTGATCGCCATCCACCCGACTCTTCCTTTCTTCGCTCTCATAGAGTGTACCACTTCCTGCACAATACAAATGTTGTCAGTTATGTGCCTTCCCGGGACGAAGCTCGTTTGCGTTTCATCCACGAGCTTAGGCATCAGCGGTTTCAGCCTCTCAGCCAGGCTCTTCGTCAGGATCTTGTATATCACGTTGCACAGGCTGATCGGTCTGAACTGCTCTATCATTGTTGGCTTCGGGACCTTGGGAATCAAAACAATTATCGTCTGGTTGACGTCCCTGATCCGACTTGGGTCCTCCCAGCAACTTCGAACAAACTCCACCACCCTTGGGCCCACCGTCTCCCAACAACGCTGATAGAAAAGTGGGTTAAGGCCATCTTTGCCCGGCGCTTTCAGCGGTCCCATGCCCCGTACTGCTTGCCACACTTCCTCCTCCGCAATAGCTCCATCAAGCGCTGCCCTGGCCTCGGTTTCGAGAACTGGGAAGTTGGCCAGGAGCACTCCTCCGGTACCCTGTTCTTCTAGATACATTCCTGCAAAATGAGAAACAGCTAAAGTTAGCAGTTGATCCGGCTCCTCTATCCACTCGCCATCTCCTCCTCGTAGAGCCAGGATTCTATTTCTCCTCCTCCTTCGAATTACACGGGTATGAAAGTATTTGGTATTTCTGTCCCCAAGAGTTGTCCACTCCTGCGTCGCCTTTTGCCTCCAGAGTAAGTCTTCTTGAATAAGAATTTCTTCTAATTCCACCCTTGCTTCAGCGAGGACTTCCGAATCCGCATCACCCCCATTTTGCTCCTCCAATCTCTCAATCCGGGCCAAGAGGCCATTCTTCTTTTTTAATATATGCCCAAAGGTATCCCAGTTCCACCTGCTTGCTTCTCTTGCGAATTCCCTGGCAGCCTGAATAAAATCCGTTCCTCGACCCCAAGCCTCCCTGACCATATCCTGGAACCCATCATGCGTCAGCCATGCCGCTAGGAATTTGAACGGTTTCGGTCCGGCCGGCTGGATGGAGGGGTTGAGCTTTATGAGTATCGGTCTATGGTCCGACTTGATCCTGGGTAGGTGTTTCACCACCGTTTCCGGGAACAAATCTGTCCAAGACTGGTTTGTGAGCCCCCTATCCAGCCTCTCCCGCACCCCTGCTCTAAACCACGTGAACTGAGGTCCTGTGTGACCCAGGTCCATTAGCCCCGCGTCGAGGACACAGTCCTGAAATTCTCTGGCTTGCGCTGTATCTATCCCTGCCCCTCCCCACTTCTCCGACGCCTGTAGTATGGCGTTGAAATCTCCTGCTAGCAACCAAGGCTGAATTTGTGCCGCTGCAATGTCTCTGATGGCTGCCCAGAGCTCTCTCCGTTGGACGAGAGCCGGATTCCCATATACTGCCGAGAAGTTCCATTTTTTGTCCTCATACAGTACTTCCACGTGGAGGATTTGATTCATTTTGTTCCGTTCGGTAATCGTGACTACCGTGGAGTCCCAGAGCAGCCAGATCCCTCCCGAGAACCCTCTAGCTTCCACCACTAATTTCTCGTCATACCCCATGCTATTAATCACTGCTTCAGCCCTATCACCACTAATCCTCGGCTCAACAATAACCACGATCTTAGGTTGAAATTTCCTCTTATATTCTTTAAATACACGAAGGAAGCGGTCGCCTCCTGCCCCCCTACAATTCCAAGCAAAAATGTTCAAATCCATCTACTTGGAGTTGGGGTTGCGTAGGGTACGCTATAGGTACTTCTCGGGGGTCTGTGACAACCCCCCACTGCCGCTGGTCTCTTCCACAATGGCCTGCTCCTTCCGTATTTCTGGTTCTCTCGAGTCCGACGCTTCCCCCGGGATGGGGTTGCTGTCCACATGAAATGCCTCTCCCACCTTAGGATCCCCAATCGTGCTCGTGGGCCAAGGAGGGCCATCCAGCACAGTCCCTCCAGCTCGCTGAAGAGTCTGAATTGTACTATATGCTCGCCCACCCAGTTTTAATGATGTCTCAGTCCCTTCTTCCCTTACTTCTGCATGGCCAACCTCACCCTTTCCAGAATTATCCCCTGTGGCCTTATGAGCCGATGATACCTCTGCCGCCCATATGTCATCCTCCCTCCTAGTGCCTGCCTCCCTCTCCTTACCCTTCGGGTCACCCTTCTTCTCTACCCAGACCTGTTTATCCTTAGCCGCCATAGGCCTGTTCACCTCCTTCTGGCTCCCTAGATGGGTATCACCTTGTGCCTTCTCCCGTTTCTCTCCCAAGCTAGCACCGCCTGGATGTAACGTATCAGGCTGTTCCCCCGTTTCTTCCATCCCCTCTTCCCCTAGCACCGTGAACCGGGACCCGGAGTGTGTCTGTCTTCCATGCTCCCCTCTCTGTCCCTCCCTAGCTTCACGGCCGCCCTTCTCCACATTTCTCGGCCGACGCTGTCTCCTGGTCGCCACCATCCATTCCCCATATGGTTCAGAGTGCTTTGGTATCGGACCCTGCTGTTCCTCGTCCTCGTTTTTTTCAGATTGATGGAATGCGGTGCACTTATTTTTCTGATGACCGTATCTCCCGCATTCGAAGCAAACGTTCGTCAAACCTTCCCATTGGATATCGTACTCTTTTCCCAGTATTCTGAATTGAGACAGTAGGGGCTTAGTAAGGTCAACTTCCACACACACCCGCGCGTATTTTCCTCGCGCTCCTAACTCCGTAGCTCGATCCAGTCTCACTGGCTTCCCCGCATAGGACGCAATTCGCATAACTGCCTCGGGATGGTAAAACTCAATTGGAAGGTCGGGCAGCTGCATCCATGCTAATGTTGTTACTATTTCAGCTGCCTTCGGATCGAACCCTTTTTTCCACTGTTGTGTAGTTATGTAATGATCCCCTAGCATCCACGGCCCCCCTGTGAGTGCATGCTCGTAGTCCTGTTTGCTCGTAAACCTTACAAAGTAGCAACCATAAGATCTGTTCGTCACCTGTATAGCCCCGTTCTTTGCCCAAAGCATATTCAACCTCTTTACCACCACCGGGTATGGGAACGTACGACCTAGGACCTTTACTACAATTGCTGAGCGCCATTCGCGTCTATATTTTCTGAGCTCCATGGCTGTGAATGGGATGGCCGGGCAAATAGGGTTCCCTGCTGCCATATCCATCTCGTCCTCATTATCTTCCCTGATTGCTTCCGCCACGTCCTCCGAATCGGACTCCGCTACGTACCATTCTGTTCCTTTCAGAGTTTCGCTAAATAGCTTCTTCCTCCCCACTCCCCAGGCCATCGACGGCTGTGAAAAGGTATGGGTCGGCGTCTGCGTTGGTTCCTTCCTCTCTCGCGATCTGTCAGCACTGCTAACCTCGGCCATCTCTTCCTCCGTGATATCTTCAACTATCCCATCCATCACGTTCGTGGTAACCTGTTCTAGGTTGATCGGTCTAACCCTTTTCTTCGGGTGCTGGGACTCCTTCTCCTTTCTACCATCCGGCGACGATGTCACCTCCGGCGGGCGTCGCTGTCCCGCTGTAGGGTCAGGTGGTTTGGCCTCCGCCCCGTCGATGGGGCTCGTCGGCGTTGCCGCCGCCGTCATTCTACGTACGCCGCTCGCAAACCCTAGTTACGATTTCCGGGCTCCGCAAAATCCGGAGCAGTTATTAATCTCTAGCCATCAGATTTGTGTTTAGAAAATGAGCTGTGTATATTATTGCCCGTTATATTATTGCCCGTCTTGCTTGCTTTGTATTTTTCTCAATCCTTACTTGTCTATTTTGAATCACATCAATCCTACCCTTTTGCTATTAGACACCACTCAAACTTGCCCGCTATGTCAAATACACTGTTCTCTTCATTAATGAAAATGTCTGGGATTTGATGCAGCTGAATGATGCGTGTGAATGATGCAGGATTGCAGGTGATGCATGAATTCTCCTCTAACTATGTCTGCAAAGAATGAAGTTTGACTCCATGTCTCTGGAGCCTCTAGATTCTTCACTTTCCGTATAATATTATATATACATTGGCTTTCATTGGCCACTGTTCTCTGCTCAATGCTGCTATCTGCATACCCACCCTTTTTTCTGGTGTTGTTACCAACTTGGCTTTCTCTCTTTGCTTCTCATATACAGAGGAGCCGGAGGTCAGTGCAAAGAGGGCGAAAGGACGGCCAGGGAAACAACGGAGAGACTGTTTGATGAGCAGCACAGCTCAAGTGAAGAAGAAGAAGAAGAAGAAGAAGAAGACAAGATCAGTGCACCGGATCAAGAAGAAGATGGAGGAAGGAAACAAGATGAGGACGATGAAGTAGATATTCCATTAAGGTCACTGAGACTTTCAAGGGATGAAAATAGAGCTTCAACTTCCAGGGCATCAGGTATTACTGCTTCTAATCTCTTCCTTTAGTTGGCCTATCTAGTGCCCCTACTGACCTGTTATTTCAAGTTTGAATTGGACTCATTATTTGATCACCTGGGCTCTATTGCCTGGTTTTTGCAGGGTCGGCTAGTAGGTAACGTGGGACGGAAGTAACCGAGTCTCCCACGTTGTATCATAATCTACTCATCTACCGACCTCTTCGAATTTCTCACTCGAACCTTCAATTCCTCCTAAACCAAACAACTCCAGCTTACTCTCCCGCTTGCAACCAATGAAATTAGCTTAAACTGGCCACACAACACGTGAAGAATCAGGCACACCAGCAGAGACAGCAGCCACAATCCAAGCAATCTTACGTGGTTGCTGCTGCTGTTGCAAGGGAAAGCACTGCCGCTGAAACACCCTTTCTTCTGCTTAACCCTTTGCCCACATTCCTCCAACACAAACGTGGAGTTCGTCTCTCCATCGCTGAACAGAAGCACCAAAAGCAAGGACCCTTTCTGTAATCTCCCAGCTTCACTGTTGTTCGATTCTTGTTTGTGATTGCCACGGTCTCGTTGGCAGGGTTTCCTGCAACATTAATTGAATGAATAATCAGTATCGAAGGACAATGTCCAGTTTGGATATTGTACTTGCCTCAATTACTTTCAGTTTCTCGAAATGACAGCAAACGGTAGCTTCAACAAATTCATCTCTACTAAACCAAGTAGCAAGAGTGGAGATCTCTACTAAACCAAGTAGCAAGAGTGCAGACAAGCTAACAGCAACCGTACTGCCTACTGATTAGAGTGTTCAAGTTTATCAGTCAATTGGAGAGCATGCAGCTTACGGCATTTTGCAAGAGTTTGTGCAGAGAACTCCCAGAATGTCAATCACAGTTAAAATTCAACCTTCTGGAGCACTTGCAGTTTATTGAATACAAATCAAAAGGTCTCTCTTTTACTGTCTACTCGATCATAAAGAACACAAAATGAGCACTTGTAGGCCACAACAAAAAATAGCAAACCAAGGGAAAGCACCGGAGAGCTGAATATTCAGAATCAACTGCACCAGAATATTTTACCTCATAATGAGCACCAGAACAATTTGCTTGCCAAAGACACTCATCAAATTATCTCATCCACGAACCTTGATCAAGTATTCACCAAACCAATCACCCATGTGAGGTAGCATTTATCATATTAATAGTTTTGCAACAGTAGATTCCCCTCTAATACCATAATTCCCTTCTAATAACCTATTGATAATAATCTGACCAAATATAAATAGTACGAGTGACTGGACTAATATAGCAATCTTAATTGCTTTCTAGGGCAACCACAAGGCTGTTTTCTTTGAAGAAAGTAGCGTAAAAGGTTGTCCAAAAAGAATAAACATCATTTAGCAAGTAAAGCAGGTGCAGAGCTAAACTTCTATTCTGCTTCCAAAATCACATCAACACCTTCCGAAAGTCAGACTTGGCTAAGTAGTTACCAAGAAGAACGACTTCAATGGGACAATATTGAAAATCCATCTTTATTTCTTCCAGTCTTTAGAAACTAAAAATCCAAAATATCTTGCAAATAAAACAAAAGCCACTGAACATTTGTAACCTTCTACCCTCCATTTCCTAGGTTGAGGACAAGATGCAGCAAAACAGTAGTATTGATAAAGCATCATGGAACTTAACATTTCATTTTCCTCAATTCGTTAACCAACATACGATCACCACCTTCATTAGAAGCAGCATAATCATTAGCTCTGAAAACATAACAAAAACACGAGCTTCTAACAATTTGGAGCAGTATGAAGTAGGCAAGAAAAAGATGTTGTTATGCGTTACAATGAGGTCTCCTGATTATATCAAATGTTCCACCACGATACCAACGCTTGCTAAAGATTCTAGAATTTTGATCAGTCATATAAAATGAGATCGAGGCACGCAAGGTACAATAAAGAATAAAACTGGGAGTAACTCCCAAGTTGCCGTATATTCTAAGGCCAACAGACCTCCTGTTTTGAGGACACCACAGTTCTTAGATACAGGCAGAGCAGAACATCTCCCATGCAGATTTCCATAAAAAAACATACGGATTCACCATCAACATCCTGCTATTCCCAATATACATGTCCGTCAAATAATCTTAGTTCCATCTCTATGCATCCACATAAAGCTCGAGTTGTGGAATTAGTAACATGGTCACAAGTTCATGAACCTAAAGATACAAGCTATCCTTATATATGTTTGTCAACTACCATGTCACTCTTAGTTACATCTCTCTAGTCATCTAGAAAAAGCTTGAGCAGTGGAATGAGTAACATGGTCACCAGCTCATGAAGTAAAAAGAACCAAGAGCAACATAAAAAAATATTATCATGAACCCAGGATAGGCAATAACCAGACCTAATGCATAAAATAATTCCAAAAAATTCAGTGACATGATCTAGGCATTCGTGTGCTGGCCTTGGAATTTCTTTATTCCTAGTCCCCGCCATTTAGAATCCTTCCTCAGAACAGCGATAATCATAAGGAAGCGGCGTCAAGAACTATTATAGAGGATTGAATCAAGTTAACAAGACATCATAAGAAATGCATCGAGAGTAGACCGACAACCAGATAACCAAAGCCTACTTTTGTAGAAGATATGCATAAGTAGTCCCACAACATACAATCACAGGACTAGGCATTCATGTGCTTAACCTTGTAATTTATTGTTCCTCGTCACCATTTACAATCCTTCTTGCACACTGATAAATAAAGGCATCAAGGACTATCCCAGAGGACTGAATATACTACCAAGACATCATAACCTTTGCTTTCGGAGTAGAAGGGCAACGAAAATCCAAGATCTTGGCAACAACACTATACTGTGATCAAGCTCCCTTCTAATACTTCAAACTTAATTAACTCATTTCAATGTACATGGAGTAGAGTTTATTTTGGTATACCATACCCATGCAGTAGTGATCATTACTGAGGGCAACTGAGAATGGTATCAACAATCCAACTAGCAAAGTAAAATCATATCAGAGTTTTCAGGTTAGTTTATTTAGGTATACGATACCAACACAAACATAGAGTTCGTCTCTCCATCGCTGAACAGAACGCACCAAAAGCAAGGACCCTTCTGTAATCTCCCAGCTTCACTGTTGTTCGATTCTTGTTTATGATTGCCACGATCTCGTTGGCAGGGTTTCCTGCAACATTAATTGAATGAATGATCAGTATCGAAGGACAATGCCCAGTTTGGATATTGTACTTGCCTCGATTCCTTTCAGTTTCTCAAAACGACAGCAAACGGTGGCTTCAACAAATTCATCTCTACTAAACCAAGTAGCAAGAGTGGACATAAGCTAACAGCAACGGTGCTGCCTACTGATTAGAGTGTTCAAATTTATCAGTCAGTTGGAGAGCATGCAGTTTACGGCACTTTGCAAGAGTTGGTGCAGAGAACTCCCAGAATGTCAAATCACTGTTCAAATTCAACCTCCTGGAGCACTTGCAGTTTATTGGAAACAAATCCAAAGGTCTCTCTTTTACTGTCTACTCAATCATAAAGAACACAAAATGAGCACTTGTAGGCCACAACAAAAAATAGCAAACCAAGGGAAAGCACCGGAGAGCTGAATATTCAGATTCAACTGCACCAGAATATTTTACCTCATAATGAGCACCAGAACATTTTGCTTGCCAAAGACACTCATCAAATTATCTTATCCACGAACCTTGATCAAGTATTCACCAAACCAATCACCCATGTGAGGTAGCATTTATCATATTAATAGTTTCGCAACAGTAGATTCCCCTCTAATACCATAATTCCCTTCTAATAGCGTATTGATAATAATCTGAACCGGGGATAACTGGAAGGCGGGACATAGGCACAACAATACTGACGATTATGCTTACTATAACTCTCACGTTGTTTGATCATAACATATTTCATTTCTCGGACCCTGTTAAGGTCTCGGTTATATAAAAATCCTCCCCTAATTAGTGAATTTGAAATGGAGCAGAAGGGCAATTGGAACGAGGGACACTGGGACGCTACTTCAAATCATTAACTTTCTCAAACAACATAGGTCACAATGTATTTTCTCGACCAAGTCAATCAAACAGGCAGCCAAATTGAGAGGCACAATGGGGTACAATTGTCATGCGTAAAGTCATTTGTCCCAAAAAAGAGTGTTACGAAGTATTTTTCTCAATCATAAAATCATTCCGAAGTTCTCCCCCATGACTCCATTAAGACCATCATTCAACAAGACCCTTCACGATTAAGAATGTGAAATGGAGCAAGGAACAACTAGAACTACTAGACGGGCACCTCTAGGATACCACTTGTAGAACATTAGTTCTCATTCTCAAACAGAATCAGTATTCACTTTATCATTATTGGTCGTTCCAATGTTCCCCGTAAGACAATTTAGGGCTTCCACATAAAGGATAGGGGAGAGGGGGGCACTCAAATGCCAAATTGACGAGCTCAATCTTGAGTGATAATGGGACTGGACTATCACACCTTTCTAACATGGCTACCAAGCATGATTTTCATCATTATTAACTAAGAGTAACACTCTCTATTTACAATGCAGCTCAGACAATTAATAGCTTAAGAAACCAGTCAGCCCATGTGTAATTATGTTATTCAGCTTCAAGTATACATAAAGGAATATGGACCAATAGATCATTAGGCTTACGGGTACGGAGAAGCATCATACCTTTTTCCATCAAGATCCAGCCTTGGAAAAGCCGAATGATCTAATTATATCGAGTGTCCTAAAGAAGTTATTGTCCTGAAGAAACAAAATAGGAAGAAAACACTAAGATTGAACTCCAAATCAATTTAGTTGCTCACTTATAGAAATATAGCAGACTACAGTGAGAATGCATATCATAAGGCAGCTGAACTGTGAGGCATCAAGTAAAAGCTGGAATTCAAACAAGCGTTCAAAGGCAAGTCTCTTTGAAGAGATGCAACTTGGGGCAAAATTACAACACATTTCAAATAATAAATTCATATGGGCGTAGTATAAACATCTCAAACTTTCCATTGTTTTCCACACACCGCCACTGCCCATATTAACGGGGTCTCTTGCTACAATGCTTCCAAGAAAATCAGTCATAACTCCATTCCAGGACTCCATTGTCGATATTAAATTACCAGGATAAAAAGTAGAGTTTAAGGGCAACCAAATGCATAAATAGTTATGAAGTGATGGGTCATCTATATCACAGCCAGTGACAATTTCCATATGAGCATCACACGTATACCAACTGACCAAATATAAATAGTATGAGAGACTGGACTAACATAGCAATCTTAGTTGCTTTCTAGGGCACCCACAAGGCTGTTTTCTTTGAAGAAACAGTGTGAAAGGTTGTCCAAAAATAATAAACATCATTTAGCAAGTAAAGCAGGTGCAGAGCTAAACTTCTATTTTTCTTCCAAAATCACATCAACACCTTCCGTAAGTCTAGACTTGGCTAAGTAGTTACCAAGAAGAACGACTTCAATGGGACAATATTGAAAATCTATCTTTATTTCTTCCCAAGTCTTTAGATGAACTAAAAATCCAAAATATCTTACAAATAAAACAAAAGCCACTGAACATTTGTAACCTTCTACCCTCCATTTCCTAGGTTGAGGACAAGATGCACCAAAACAGTAGTATTGATAGAGCATCATGGAACTTAACATTTCATTTTTCTCTATTCGTTAACCAACGTACGGTCACCACCTTCATTAGAAGCAGCATAATCAGTAGCTCTAAAAACAGAACAAATATATGAGCTTCTAACAATTTGGAGCAGTATGAAGTAGGCAAGAAGAAATGTTGTTATACATTGCAATGAGGTCTCCTGATTATATCAAATGTTCCACCACGATACCAACGCTTCGTAAGGATTCTAGCATTTTGATCAGTCGTATAACATGAGATCGAGGCACACAAGTAAAATAAAGAATAGAGCTGGGAGTAACTCCAAAGTTGTCGTATATTCTAAGACCAACAGGCCTCCTGTTTTGAGGACACCACGGTTCTTATATACAGACAGAGCATAACATCTCCCATGCAGATTTCTATAAAAAAACATACGGATTCATCATGAACATCCTGCTTGTCCCAATATATATGTCCGTTAAATATTCTTAGTTAAATCTTTACGCATCCACATAAAGCTCGAGTCATGGAATTAGTAACATGATCACAAGTTCATGAACCAAAAAGCAAACAAGCTATCTCGATATATGTTTGTCAACTACCATGTCACTCTTAGTTCCATCTCTCTAGTCATCTAGAGAAAGCTTGAGCAGTGGAATTAGTAACATGGCCACCAGCTCATGAAGTGAAAAGAACCAAGACGCAACATAAAAAAACATTATCATGAACCCAGGATAGGCAATAGTCAGACCTAATTCAATAGAAGACATGCATAAAATAATCCCAAAAAATTCAGTGACATGAGCGAGGCATTCGAGTGCTGGCCTTGGAATTTCTTTATTTTATAATCCTTCCTAGGAACCGCAACAATCATAAGGAAGCGACGTCAAGAACTATTATATAGGATTGAATCAAGTTAACAAGACATCATAAGAAATGCATACAATCACAGGACTAGGCATTCATGTGCTTAGCCTTGTAATTTCTTGTTCCTCGACACCATTTACAATCCTTCTTCCACACTGATAAATAAAGGCATCAAGGACTACCCCAGAGGACTGAATATACTACCAAGACATCATAACCTTTGCTTTCGGAGAAGAAGGGCAACGAAAATCCAAGGTCTTGGCAGCAACACTATACTGTGATCAAGCTCCCTTCTAATACTTCAAACTTAATTAACTCATTCAATTGTACATGGAGTAGAGTTTATTTTGGTATACCATACCCATGCAGTAGTGACCATTACCAAGGGCAACTGAGAATGGTATCAACAATCCAACTAGCAAAGTAAAATCAAATCAGAGTTTTCAGGTTTTTATTTTGGCATAAGATACCAAATTACCAATACAACAGTAATCGCATCACTCCCACGTTCCCCGGGACATCCCGGTGAAACGAAATGTGACTAGGTGTTCTATCAGGTGTGTTATCTAAAGTGGCACCGACACTGCAATTATCAACATCTAAATTATCAAGCAAACCCAGAGCCAACTTCAGATCAGTATTCAACCAACCTGTACAGGGAAATTTTTAGGTCCATCTCTGCTCAGTCTCAATCTCAAATCCCCTTTTAGGACAGAAGAATAATTTTCAGTTTCCGAAATATTGTCACAAGGGACAAATCATAAGTAGATCAAGCAACGAGAGTGATTTAACTGTGCATCTTATGATTAACTAGTAATATAATTATATAAGGCAAAACCGTATCCAACTTTTGTATAAGCATTGAACCGGCAGTAGACAAGGAATTTTCCGGATCTGTCTATGATGAGACTCATTCTCATGTTCCCATCTAGGACTCCGTAAAATACTTTCTGTTTACGAAACACTTCCACAATTGATAAATTCAAGGTGGGGCAGAAGGACAACTAGATCGATTAAGTAATCACCTTACTATAAGGATTGTACCGACATTAGACAAGGTATTTTTCCGGATCTGTCTATAATGATACTTGTTATCAAGTTCCCCTCTAGGACTCCATAAAGTACTTTATGCATGCGAAACACTTTCACAAGTGATGAATCCAAAGTGGAGCAGAAGGGCAACTAGATTGAGTAACTAATCATCTTATTATAAGCATTGAACCGACATTGGACAAGGTATTTTAGAATCTATCTATGATGTACTCAATACTCAAGTTCCCTCCTAGGACTCCATAAAGTACTTTCTGCATACTAAATGCTTTCACAGTTGATAAATCCAAGTTGGAGCAGAAGGGCAACTAGATTGAGTAAACTCAAGTTCCCTCCTAGGACTCCATATAAAGTACTTTCTGCATATAAAATGCTTTCACAGTTGATAAATCCAAGGTGGAGCAGAAGGGCAACTAGATTGAGTAAACTCAAGTTCCCTCCTAGGACTCCATATAAAGTACTTTCTGCATATAAAATGCTTTCACAGTTGAAAAATTCAAGGTGGAGCAGAAGGGCAACTAGGTTGAGTAACTAATCATCTTATTGCAAGACATACCCGAACCCAGCTTTCATATAAGCATTGAACCGACAAGGACAATGTATTTTCAGGGTCTATCTATGATATAGTACTCATTCTCAAGTTCCCTTCTAGGACTCCCCAATGGACTGTTAGTTAAACAATAGATTGAAAGAGGAGCAGAAGGGCAACTAGATTGAGTAACTAATCATCTTCTTGCAAGACAAAATCGGACTCAAGTTTCGTATAAGCACTGAACAGGCATGGCAGAAGTATTTTCTGGGTCTATCTATGATATAGAGTACTCATTTTCAAGTTCCCTTCTAGGACTCCACAATGGACTTTCAGTTAACAATATATCTCAAGAGGAGCAGAAGGGCAACTAGATTGACTAAGCATCTTATGGCAAACTTGAACCCAACTTTCATACAAGCACCGAAACCGACATGAACGATTTATTTCAGGGTCTATCTATGACATAGTACTCATTCTCAAGTTCCCATCTAGGACTCCATAATGGACTTTCAGCTAACAATATATTTCAAAAGGAGCAGAAGAACAACTAGAATGAGTAGATGACCATTTCAATAGCAAGGCAGAAGCGGTCACAAGTTAGTGAACATGATCTTATAAAACCTCCAACGAGCATATTATGAGTCAAAACAACAAACGTTACAGAACCAAGGCAACAATTTATCTCAGTATCTTTATAGGACACTCATTAGGGGTTTCCATTTGCAGAATACAATAGCACCTTGATGAATCATGGTAAAAAAAAGGGGGCAACAGCAAAGTAGCGACAAATCAGCAAACATCTCAGGTCAAGAACCAAAATATAGAAGCTCTAGCCAAAAAAAGAGGGGCGTAATTAAAGTTACTAGACAACTCTGGCCCAGGCAACATATAATGGTCAATATGATATGCAAGTCTCTGGACATAATCATCCTTGGAACAAATTTCACTATATTCATGGCAGCATATTTCTAGGAAATCAAGAGAGTCTAGTGGAACCCCACACTATGCTTATTTGCAAATCGAACACAAGATCCCATGATTTGATCAATCCAAGCGGAGAGGATTTAGGAAAGCAACGATAACAATCTAACACCCACGGTGAGCATGATAGAATAAGCAGTAACACCACAATAATGGCTACTATCTACCAAAGCAGTAATTAGAACAAAAGGCAAGCACAACTGCACAAGACACCCAATTTCCTCATAGGTGGAAAAGATGGGGGAGTAATTACCAGATAGATTGCATCAGACAAGATCGGGTCATATTTCCGGAAGGCGTTAAACCCAGCATGCGATCGATCGGCGAACATCGGATACCAAAAACCCTAACCCGCTGCCTTAATCATGGCGAAACTCGGTGATTTTCAAAACCCTAACCCGCTTCCTTAATCATGGCGAAACTCCGTGAATTTCAACGGCCTTCCGTTGAACGGGAAACCATTCCGGCCTCAGAAACTTCGACAGAATAGGACGAAAGAAATTTTGCGATTCCATATTTCTCGACAAGGCGCAAAAGAAATCAGACTAGGGAAGTACCAAACTAGAAAATTCTGACGGAGGTGGAACTTACCAGCCCTTGAGGCGGTTGCCACAAACCTAGAGCCGTTGTCGTTGAAAACTGAAAAAGAAAGAACGCGTTGTCTCAAGTCCGGCTTCCTCTGTTCCTATTTATAGGTTGGGGAATTTGGCATGGCTTGAGTCGGTTATGTGCCTCCTTGCCAGCTGGACTAGCCGATTATTTTAGTAATAGCCAGCTGGACTGGCAAACTCAGCTTTCTTTTGCCAGCTAGACCATCAAATTAATGCCACGCATTTTATATTTTAACTGACGCGTCCGACTCTATTAGAGTCCAATACAATCCCGGCCCACATATCATTTCAACTCTAAGACTAGCTCCAACCCAGCCACTCAAAATGCTATAAAGCCCATATTTGGCTTTTTTCCTCCCTCCAACCCACAAAAAAATGGGAAGCAATAAATGGGTATTGGGTTTTTGGGAGTGAAATTTGGCTGGGTTTTGGGGTGGGAGTCAAATTTGGCTGCCAATAAAGTGGCCAGCATGTCAGCTGGCGGAGGAGGGCGCCGGACGCGCGCCTGGGGCGCACGCGCGCGGGGGAAGACCTTCCCCCGCGCGCGTGCGCCCCAGGCGCGCGTCCGGCGCCCTCCTCCGCCAGCTGACATGCTGCCTTTTTTTTTTTTTTTCTTTTAATTTTTGTTGGTTGGGAATTTGTTTTGCCAATTTGTTTTGGATTTTTTTTTCCTCTATTCTCATTGGTTGTTTGTGATTCAATTTGAAATATAAATTTGAAATAATTGATGTAGTGATGAAAAAACGGTCATATTTTAACGGCCATAAAAAACGGTCATATTTTAACGGCCATATTTTTTCTTATATATTACAGCACTCTTCATAGATTTCTCTTCACTCATTCTCAGAGCATAAATCGCATTCTCTCAAATCCGATAGCGCCTTCTGAATATGCGAGCATTGTATACTGGATTTGGATCGAAGTAATCCCTCATAAGACGTCGATTACATTCGACCCTCTCACGATCAATGTAACGTCGGCTTGTAGTTTGACGGCGACTTGATGCACCTTCAGCCAGCCTCCGACCTATCAAACTCAAACGTAGGTGGTGAAACCTTTCGTACTCTTCGTTTTCTTCTTCTCCAGACGATGAGCTATCTGAGATACTCATGATGAATGTGTTTGTTTTAGAAATGGGAAGAAGTTTTAGTTGAGTTGATGAAAATGAAGAACTGTCATTTATAAAGACATTTGGTGCAAAAAATGACAAAAAAACGGTCGTAAAGTAACGGATACAAAAAACGGTCATATTTGGAGTGGTCCCGAAGTTTTAACGGTAATATTTTAACGGCTAATTTTTGAAAAAAAAAATTATCTCGGAATTTAAAAAAAATTACATCGAAAAATTTGTATTCAAAACTAATAACGAGCTATGAAAAAATTAAAGTGAAATATAAAAATTAGAGGTCAAATAAGTATGGTTTATTGAAATAAATTGAAAAAGGGAAATGGGAAGCTAAATTTAGCTTTTTATAGGGTTGGAGTGAAAAGTGGGTTTGGGGAGCTAAAAAGCCATATTTGGCCATTTGGGGAGCTAAATTCCCCTTTATGGGTTGGAGTTAGTCTAAGTGGCCCAAAAAACCTTCAAACAATGGCTCATAAAGGATAGACAGAGCAAGTCATTAATTGAGTTGGGCCAGTGATAATAAGCATGACCATAATCTAAATTTTAGCCAACTGACCTCCTTTTTCTTTTTTTCGTTTTTATTCTTTATTTTTAGCATTTTTTGTTCCTCTTTTCGGTGCCGTTTGCACTTTGAAAAAATGGTCGCTAGTTTTTAACCAATTTGTGGCTAGCACTTGATTGAATTACATACCTATTATTTTTGTATATTTAACAATGTTTTGCTCTTCTTCTCTAGTATAACGATGGTTTTTCATATAGAAACCTAGTTTAGGTTTTTCTGGAAACGTAGGGGTTCCAAGTGCTTTCAAATAAATATATTAGATTAGTGTTTTCAGAGTTCGAAGAGGATTAGCGCTGTCGTAACCTATTTCGGTTGCGAATGAGGTACTGGTGTTTACGATAGAAAAAAGTGAGAAGCTTTCATCTGACTTGAGTTGAAGAACGAAGTGATGTCGTTGTGGAGATCCGAAACACTTACTCTTACATTGGAACCACGTAAGGCCAATCAACTAAAGACACGTGACTGTATTTGAATTACAGTTTCACAATTTAATATTTTTTTTTTGTTTTCGTGAACATTACTCCTCTTCATCTAAGTATAAAGCTCTGTAGAGAGATCATTTCTCTCCTGCAGGTTCACAGCTACACCTTACATTTCTATAAACCCTAAGTCCTAACTACCCTGAAGCTTTTCTTTGCATCCACAATAGTGTTCTTGGCTTGGAAAGAAATACACAATGATTAATTGCAGTCGTGAGAGACATAGAGGATAATAGCCATCAATGGATTAAAGTTGCAGTGATAGAATTGGGATATTCAATGAGCTGCCTAATTGCCATACAACTCGTGATGATCGAACTCACTTACCTTCTTCACCGCTGATAATCAAAACCTGAAATGAGCTGCTGTTTTATTCCTGTCGATTTTGCAGGAACCAGGCCTTGCAATGGTAACTAGGACGAACCTGCCATCAAAGAACTGGACCAGAAACACAAACAAAACTTTGAGCCAAAAATGATGTAATGAACGATGATCAATGGACACACACACACACTTGGTTCTGTTTCCCCCCCCAATATGAATTCAATCATGAATTACCTTTCCATTCATTCCTTCCACAGCGAGATCGGCAGACGCTTTGCTAGCAAACCACACATAAGCGAATCCCAGTGACTCCATCGTTCGGTTGTCCACTATGATTTTCACTGCAAACCCAAAATCCTTTAGGAAAATTTCCCATCCCCAATCTGAATTGAAAAACAAGCCTCTCTCACCTCGGCTGATTTCTCCAAACTGGGAGAACACCGTCTTCAGCCGTACCTCGGTGGTCGATAGAGACAGTCCTTTGATAAATACGATGGTCGGCGGCGACGGAGAGGGTTCTACGGGTGAGCTGTCGGAGACGGCGGAGCAGCTGTGAGGATTGGGATTTCTGGTTCTGCGGAGTGAAATTTGAAACTGGAGGGGAGGGAAAGTTGGGGGTTTCTGAAGGGGAGACCGGATTGCGATGGAAAGAAATCGGGTTGCGGGTTGAAGAAGAGAAGGAGATCGGAAAGAGGTCGGACGGGACATCGCCTGAGACAGGCCGAGCACTCCGGCGAAGATAAGAAGCTGTGTGAGTGTGGTGAAGTCCGAGAAGGTTTGACGGCACAGGGAGGATAATTAGGAAGAGCGTGCCACAACATCAGTTTTCCTTTTGGGCCCGCCTTTTCCTACGATGTGTTAGCCCGTAGGCTTTTAGGCCCATAATACTATTGTGTATTATCAAGGAAAAGGAGCCCAATATGTATGGCTCGTTTTCGTTTCAAAGAGCCCAACTCTTACTGATCGGGGACACGGGAGATACATCGAGCAGTTGGATACGGATATTTTTGGATGGGTTAATACTTAATGACATAACGATAATGGATTAGCTAATCTTAGATAGGGAAACATAAGGGATATCTCAAATTTATATTAAAAAAAAGTTTGATATTTTTTCTTTCAAAGTAACATTAGATCGTATTGGCAATTAAGTAAGTGCAACTGTGGGAAGACTTTCTAACAAGTAACAACATTATTCATAAGTTAGTACAAGATATTTGTAAATAAATCTATCAAAATTAGATGAACAGTTCTAACTGTAAATCACCGGGATTGGTTAGCTTGCTAACCCCTCTATGGGTTGGAAAAATGGCACCCCTGTTAATTATAGTTAATTATGGTATTAAATTCGCGTTACATTTAATAATCTTTGGGAATTAAAAACTCATATTAATTATATTCTTTTTTTTAACTATCATTACCAGTGTTATTAAAGTTGAGCCGAGCCGCTCGGTCCGACCGGTAAAACCACCACCTGGTCACAAAACTGGTTCGGAACAGCCTAAAAGCCATTCCGGTTTTATGTAGCGGTTGACGAGCGGCCGAGGCGGTTAACTGCTCGAGCCGCTCGTCCGGTTTTTGCCATTCACCCGTTAAATTTAATTAAGAAAATTACAAAAAATTAAAATAAACCAAAAACGTCGTGCTCTGAAACTGAATCCTTATTTCCATTTTACAATTTCGAAGGAAAGAGACGAGCTCTGATTAAGAAATGCCACTATTTATACTGATAACTTTTATTAGGTACCGGTTATCTAACGGTTTTTAAACGGTCTAATGCCGGTTGGACCACTAAAGTGCGAGCCGTTCGCATTACCGGGTCATGCTCCGGTTCGATTATGACAACATTGATCATTACACTGATACAACTATCATTGTACCTGTACACTGAACTCATATTAATTACATTCATTTTTTTAACTACCATTGCATTGGTAGAACTATCATTGCACATGTACACTGATATCATTGCACTGGTAGAACTACCATTGCACTCAAAAAATGAAAGTAATTAATATGGGTTTTTATTCAGACAGATTATTAAATGCAACACAAATCAATTACCTTACAACTCTATAATTAATAGGGGTGTCATTTTTCCAACTCATTTAGAGGTAGTCATGTTATTTCACCCCTAAACCACACTATTCAACCAAACTTTCTCCAACGAAGTTGCACTTTCTAAATATACGACCTCACATCTCATCCAATGAAGCAGGTTCCTCGAAACGAAAGACCTCACTACTATGTATGGCGATTAGAAGTTAGTATCATTCATGTGCAAACTTTATGAACAAATCAGATAAAAGAATTGTCTGTGCAAGTGTGACTCATTATTGTCGCATGCAATTTTCATTGTATACACTCTTGTATCTCGACGTGACACCCGACCTATACTGACGTGACACCCAACCTATACTAAAAAAAATGTTGTTATTAATAATATATTTGTGCGTGAGATATACACCTAACTTGATCTTTCGAAATTTGTCTTTCCATGCATCTGCAAACTCAATCCAACTTACTAATTAGGGCTAATACCACTAGAAAACCCGAACTGTTAACTTTGTGTCATTTGTGTCCTAAAGTATTCGATACGACATTTGTGTCCTAAACTATTTTTCCGTTAGAGTTGACTGGTGTTGACCGTTAGTTTTTAACAGAAAGTCCAGTCAGCGTTGATGTGGCATCTGACATGAAACTTTAATATTAATTTTTAGTTACTTTTGCATCTAATAAAAATTTTAAATACAAAATTAAAAAATTTACACCTCTCCCTTCCCCTGTCCTCCGTAGAATTCTTCGACCTCTCCCTCTTCTCCTTCTATATACAATCAACTTTGATCTTACCTTTCGTTAGAAAATCCTTCCACAATCATCTTCATCTATGAAAGCAAAGAAGCTAAATCGTCGCCACCCGGAACTCATCCTGTTGCTTATTCGTCTTCTCCCTTCCTTACTTCCGCCGTCGCCCAGATCCACTTGAATCACCCAGTCCTCTTCCCTCGACTCACCCGGTCAATCCTCCTCCAACAACGACTCCTCCTCCCTCCCGATCCTCAACGCCGCCGCCGCTCCGCCTTGCTACATCTCGGAGCACCGCCTTGCTACCCCCGACGAGATCCACACTCCCAATCCCCAGCTCGTCCGTTTACAGGCGTCCTCAGCTCCGTCCGATTCCCCTCTACGATTCACTGAAAATCCACCATTTCTTGCGAATCTGGATTGGGGTATTACGAATCTAGATTTGGAGCTTTCCCGAGTGAGAAAGGGTGTTACGAATCTGGATTTGGAGTTTTCCCGAGGAAAAATGAAAAGTATTTGAAGGAGAGGGGAAATGGGAGCGCTCGGTGGCGATGGCACCGGCTAGAGATCTGCCAGGATTCATCGCCTGCACTGTAACAAACTTCGACGAAACTGCCGCCCTTTCGCCCATTTCGTAGATTTCTTCTTTGAAACACTCTGATTCTTGTAGAATTTGCCTACCTCTCTCAGTTCCACGCTTTGTACGAGAGGTCGGACTTGCCCCCCGGGAAGTCTCCCTGCTGCACTTCATTTCCGGCTCGTGTGTGACAAATTATAGGGTTCTAAGTGAATTATGGATTTCTTAAAAGTTGCAGGGCATGACATCCGGAAGAGAGGAAGAGGAAGAAGCAGGGGCGGTTTTTTATTTTCTTAATTATTTTTTATATTATAAATTTTTTATTTTAAATTTTATTTAGTTTTAGTAAAAAATATGATGTGTCAATGACATGGCATCTATGTGACTGCCACGTCAACAAAAGTCAATGTTAATGTTGACTTTCGTTTGGTCAACCGTTATCTATAACGGTCAACAAAATCGTCAGGACATAAATGACACAAAACTATAATAGGTTGGGATACAAATGTCGTATCGAATACTTTAGGACACACATGACACAAAGTTAATAGTTCGGGTTTCCTAGTGGTATTAGCCCTACTAATTAACCCATGTTTCTCAAACCCTAATGTGTGGTCTCTAGGGCGGATCCAGGGCTGGCCAATCCAGGCTCCGGCCCAGCCCTCCTCCGAATCCAGAGTTAGTTTAGTGCTTATAAATTTTTGATTTAGGTATTTGGTCCAATCCTATTTAAAATCCTGTCTAGTTTTATTTGATAATAGAATGTTGTGCAACTAGGAAAATGGTTCAGATGAACATATCCAAACCATCACTCTAAATTTATACTAAATTTTTTATATCCCAAATGATTTTATTTGAAAAAAGACATGAAAAACTAAAAGTGTAAAGTTTCATTAAAATAAAATAAAAACTCTAAACTAAAGCACACCCTTCCTTGCAAAATTCAAAAAATTTCCCAATCCCCTCAAAACAAAACAAGAACGAGGAGACGAGCAGACCCAAAATGGATTTCTCCGCCAGCCAATCGAGCTGGTTTTCTTTCCATTCTTTTGATTAAGAAAATATTTACAAACTTCATGAGTTATCATTTAGATTGCCTCAATTGAGTGGGGCACTAGATTCTAACCGTTCTTTCTGGTTTTTTGATGAACAAAATATTTGCAAACTTGCTCAAGAGTTTAGCCTCGAGACTTTGAAGGCTGTGAGATGCATTCTTTGGAGAATGCACTACTCATGTGAGGAAGATGAAGTTTATTCTCTTGCAAAATTATTAGAGAAGCTGGAGGAAACAGGAATGGACACACAATACAAATTGATTTGTCGGTTGATTTGTCTAGTGCTGACCTAGCTGTTTCAACAACTACCATGGAGAGAATATTTTCAGCAATGGAACATGAACATTGATTTGTGCAACAAAATGAGCGATGAATTTCCCGTTGATTACTTAGTTATTTTCTTTGCAAAAGAGTATATTATCAGTATGGATGGAGATTATATTATTGATGAATTTGTTAAATTAAAAGATCTTGTACAATTGGCATTGTAATGAAAACTATATTATTATATATTTTTGTTTATAGTATTTAATATTCTATTCAAATGCGGCCCAGTGCTTTTTTATGTCCTGGATCCGGCGGCTAAAACCTCACACCGTAATTAACTATACCTATTATGGTCGCTCTGTTGGATCAAGAAGACAAATCAAGTTAAGGGTTTTTGGGCTGGCCTTGTTTCTTATGGAGTTGGTCAATAATGAGTTCAATTAGTGGTTAGTAGAGTCCAGATCGTGGTTAGCTTAATGTTATTAGTGCCAAACTGTTGCTTGTTTTAAGGACTGTTGTTAACAGCTCCTGATTTCATGTTAGATAGGCCGAGTAATAGGGGTTGTGGTAGCTGGTTTATAGCTTCCATTAGTTATACTTGATGTATTTAAAACTCTACGTTGATCACTGAATAAATCAATCAAGTTTTCCCTTCTATTCTGTTTAACATAGTGGTATCAGAGCCTTATAGGTTAAAACCCAAGTGATCCAGGTTTCGGCGGCGGTGGCCACCACGGTCACCGCCCGCCCATTGTCGCTAGCCAGAGAGATAATGGAATCAAGGCTCCATCCAACTTTAAAAAACGAGAGGTGGAGATCTTCTCAAGCCGTCTGTGAAACCGACGATGACATAGGGGAGGAGAAGATTGTCTGCGTCACCAGAGACGTTCAGTAGAGATGGCGATTGGGAAGCAACAACGGCGTGGTGGAAACAATAGAGGCGAGATTGTTCAACGGCCACCGCCCGCCTTATGTGTAAGGAGCAGGAAGATATAGATGCTGAAAGTGAATGTCAATGTGATTAGGACTTGGCGAGGGAAGTGGTAGGTGAGCAAAAAAATGGGATAAGCTGGAGCAAGAAATTGAAAAGGGGGAAGTCGATGTAGCTGGAGAAGATGGATCTTTTCAAGGCGAAGGAGGAGATGGGAATCGGACTGAGATTCAGCGGCGGCGGAAGCGGAGGGAAACCAGAGATCGTGAAGGAGATAAAGCTCTACCGCCGACAACATCGTCCACCATCTCCGGCAGCAGGTTCCCAACTACCGCCAAATGGAACAGCAAGAGGGTGATGTTGACGAAGGGAGTGCTTCCGCTAGTGGCAAGAAAGAAGAAGAAGAAGAAGAGGATTGACGCGAGCGATCAAGAACGGCAGAAGCAGTAAGAGTCGGAGTCCCAATCGACGCCATCGTCTATGTCAGTGGGAAGCCAGTGGATCCTGCGTTCGATGAATGTTGCGAAACAGTTATGCTACAATGAAGAACATTGAGGTTGAGACAGCTAGTAGTTCTTGTGGGAAAGGACCAAGTGGAGGAATTGTTTGCTTGGAGGGCTTCTGTACAAATTAAGAACTTGGAGCTAAGGATTAAAGAGTATCAGCAGTTCAGCAGAGAACAGAAGAAGGATCGAAGCCTAATTTGCATGGAGAGGGAGTTGGGAAAAGATGAGTTCAAGCATCACAGAAGCTTTGGTCCAACAAGGGAAGTTGCTAGTCCACATAGCAGAATGATCATTCATTGAGCTCGCTTGTAGTGAAAGCAATTATGTGGTATGTTGAATCTTATTCTAGGATCAACTTGAATGATCAGTTTGTTATGTGTTTGCATATGAAATTAGAACCTCAACTGCTGTTCTCTGGTTACAAGCTTCCAACTATAGATCAAGAAGAGTTTTTATTTAACAAAGCTAGGCTTCAGAACAATTCCACATCATCACCTCATGAGGAAGTGAATGTAGTCGAAGTAGCTTTAGTACTATAAGCTTTGTAGGGGTTGTTGAGAAGTACTTGTTGGATTTGGCTGTGGAGAATTGCAGCAACTCTCATAAAGCAGTTTGAGAAGAAGGGTTTTAGAATTTCAGGTAGTGCAGATTGTGAGGAATCAGAATGTGGATTTTTCAGCAGGATTTGTGCAAGATGTGGGGATCGAGAGTCTCCTAAAACATACGAGCTTCGAAATGGATCTCCAGTTTCAGACGCAGTGATTAGTAACTAGATGGTGCTCATGCAGTGAACTGAAGCATGGTTCAATGGGCTTCAGTTCAGGGGAGGAAATACATATTTTGGTCTTACTTCTTGCTGCAGCACTTGCCAATGCTGCTCCAGATCAGCAGCGGACAATACTGGGTGAGAATCTGTATTCCCTAGTAGAACAACTGGAGCAAGATGTTGATGCTAAGGTTACAGGGATGATTTTGAAGAAGGACCTGATCGAGGTTCTACAATTGTGGAGTCACCGGACGGACTGCATGCAAAGGTTGTTGAAGCTATGGCCATGCTGGGGAGCTCTCAGCTACATCAGGCAGCGGGCGGTACAGCTGATCAGCTGTTCTTGTTGTCTTTTAATGATCAGCTGTCCTTGCTGTCTTTGAACGGCAACCTTGTCTCTTGAAGCTACTGTGAGGTCGACAGAGTGTGGTTGGAGTAGGTTTGGAGATGTGCATGCGCGTATGAGACTAGACTTCTGATGAGAGAGGAGGAGAAAGTGAAGGGGAAGAAGAATAGGACAGACTACTGGCTATATGAAGTGATCATTGTGAAGGTTATGAGTAAGTCGTTGGCAGAGAAAGGGTATTATAAACAAGGAGTTGTGAGGAAGGTAATTGATAAGTATGTTGGAGAAGTGAAGTTGCTTGAGAGCATGCATCGGCTAAGATGGATCAAGTTAAATTGAAACTGTGATTCCACAGGTTGGAGGTTTGGTGAAGATAGTGAATGGAGTGACTCAAGGGTCCAATGCGAGGCTTTTGGGAGTGGATACAAACATCTTTTGGATTCTGTCAAGGTATGCTAGGAAGGTTATGTGTGAGATTGTAGCTTTAGTTCAATTGGAGATTGTGAGTGAAGTAGTGGAGTGATGATTGGATTAAGTGAATCCATGGTTGTGCAAGGCTGCTCGGGGAACTGTTTAAGGAAATGTCAGCTAGACATACCTACGAGTGAAGTAGGTGGTGTAACCTGTGAGTGAAGCAGGTTTGGTGTTAATGTCAGCTAGACATACCTACGAGTGAAGTAGGTTGTGTAACCTGTGAGTGAAGCAGGTGTGGTTTCAATGTCATTCGACGAGTAGGCAGCAGAGTGGCTGGTCCTTACTCGGCGGGCGAATGGCTGGTTTAGAAGTACTCGGTTGCTATGTCATGCAACAAGTAAAAATTTGAGAGCCTGTATATAACTCTTTGAGTTGCTGTTCTCGCTTGTTGGCAGATGGCATAGAAGGAGAGATCTGAGAGGACAGGTCTAGAGAGTACAGTGAAGAAACCGGAAATGAAAACAGTGGAGCATGCCTTGTCATGAAGAAGATAATAGAAAGTGAAGTTGAACTAAAAGCCAATCTTATTGGAGGCTAGCATCAAATGTGAGTGAAGCTTCTGACATACATGAAGAACTAGTTGCTGCTGCAGAATGATCATCTGTTGGTTTAAACTCAAACCTACCCGATTTGAGTTTAGGGGAGGATATGTTGGATCAAGAAGACAAATCAAGTTAAGGGTTTTTGGGCTGGCCTTGTTTCTTATGGAGTTGGTCAATAATGAGTTCAATTAGTGATTAGTAGAGTCCAGATCGTGGTTAGCTTAATGTTATTAGTGCCAAACTGTTGCTTGTTTTAAGGACTGTTGTTAACAGCTCCTGATTTCATGTTAGATAGGCCGAGTAATAGGGGTTGTGGTAGCTGGTTTATAGCTTCCATCAGTTATACTTGATGTATTTAAAACTCTACGTTGATCACTGAATAAATCAATCAAGTTTTCCCTTCTATTCTGTTTAACACGCTCTTCAAACCAAAAGAAAACAACTTTTAACCATGATTAGCATCGCGATTAACAAAGGAAAAGGGGATCAGAGTGCATATGATTTGCAGAGAATAATTGTACGGAACGATGGAATTGGGGAGGGACCCAGCAAAGAAACTCTGCCATCCATACATCTTGGTTTAGTCCCAATTATACCACTGCCCAAGTGGATCATCAAACTAATTTGACTAATTAATCCATAATCACTTCCACGATTAAACTAATTACACGATACTTCTAACACACTCCTTTCTTTCTTTCCCTCTCACTTTCCTCCCCGACATTGAATCTACCAACAAAATTTAGTAGTTCGATACCCATCATTAACCAACCCCAGATTCTTACATTCTATAGCTTTTGCCCCTCCTAATTATTATGAATATTTTTTATTTTTTTTACTTTGTGTTAATTAATCTTCTTTCTCTTTTTCACAGCTGAAAAGGCAGTCCAAGAAATAAACAAGGCTTATCTTTGGAGCATATTTAGACGATGTTAGCCACACTCCAAGTCTTTGCCATATTTATCTGAAAAGCAAAGGCTATTGGGGCGGCGAGGAATTTAACGAAAGTTGGGATAAGTAACTATAGCTAGTCTACACATCAATGCTGCATTGGAAAATAGTTTTATATAATAATCAACTGAATTGGTAAGTGGACCTTTCCGGAAGTAACTTAGGATATGGTTCAGTCATATTCTTTCTGTTCCTTTAGTAATTAGTAAGTATATCTATTTGGAAATGGGGAAGGAATATCAGGATAAACTTACATATACACAAAGTGTTGTACAATGTATTGGAATTCAGGACTATAAGTAATACGTATATGAATATATAGTAATCGATCATCACGTGAAAATTAATGTACATTACATCGTGCATTGAATACTGGGCGTTGAACTAATAACAAAATTGTTGCTTGAAACCACCTTATTGTTATTATACTCTTTCAAGATATCATCTTTCTCTTAGACAAGTATATTGATGATTTAAGCGACAAAGCGCTCACGAGTCTTATCAAAGAAGTGATAGAGATTTTTCTTCCGCGAGAAGAAATGTGTCGAAAGAGTTCATTTTTTTTATTTTTTTGAATTAATCCTACTTGGATTATTTTTAAAGAACCTATACGTAAGTAGCACCACCGGAATTCCTAGTGACATTCTTCCTTCATAAGCTAAAGTTGAATGATCGAAGTCTCCTTCAGGTGAAGTCGAAGAGATCGAAGCGAAGTTCATTAAACCACATTTACTTATCATAAATTAGGGGGATGATGAATAACCCATTAGGACAAGACTTAATAAATAAATAAATAAATAATAAAAGGGGATTATTAAAGAAAATACGGATAAGTCGTTTGCTTTCTCTTTCATTTTCATATAATCAAACAAGTCATATTGGTTAATCCATCAGCATCCGACATTGTAGAAAGAAAAAAACTAAGAAATCTAAGGTTATAGATTTAGATATAAATATAGATTTCGGTGCACAAAAATTCAGAATGAATCTTTTTATATATATCTTCCTAGCTTAGCTTTAATCAATTTATTAATCCCAGTCATCACCAGTCGCCAAAGAACATACATATGTTGCTTATATACGCGTCTTTTGGAGGTGGAGGGGGTTGTCATCTTGTATCCAGATAGACCAAACCCCCAAATGTCAAACACCACTGTTAGCTAGCTAACTAGCTACTTAGTGTCTTAATCATTTGCTGGCATAACAATTATTAGTATTATAATAATAATAATACTAGGACTATTAGTCGTCGTCATCCGGTTTTGGATATACGTGTTGAAGGTTTGCTAGCTGCTTCACTTATACCTTCCAAGACAAAACTTCAACGTACGTAGCAGACAAAAAACAAAAAGACCTAATCCAAGACAAGGTCAGAATTCAGAAAGCTAATTAACGCCAGCTAGCTAGCTATCAACTTCTTGGATCCACGAATGATGATGAGTTTCTAGGAAACTTACGATGTCGTCATCATATGTATATAAACATGATGGAATTAATTACAACTAGCTAGCTAGCCGATGGATGCTTAATTTTATTAAAACGTGACCAACCAACCTAACTACCCACCCACCGGCTCACTACTTACGTACGTGGTGAAGTCTTAAGTACCGAAGCTAAGCAACAAATGATTAGTTAGATATTAATTAAGATGTTTAGTGAACTAATTATTATACGTTAGGATAAATGATAAGTCAAATACTAGCTACGAAAACGCGCGCAATGTCTTCTTCTGGCCAGCTTAGTTAATTAGCTCTTGTTTGTCGAGAGATACATCCCCACCACCGGCCACCGACCACCGCGTTCAGGTGACGCATGCAAGCTGTGCCGGCAGTAGGACAATCGATCGGACGTGGAAGTAACCAAGTAACTAGAACACGGTGTCTGTCTGTGCGCGCTGTGCGCATTAATTATCATGTAGGAAGAAGCAGAGTGTATAACCGACATAATTTACTGATAAACAAAGATCTAGTATGAATCGAAGATTCCAAAATCCAGCTCAAAATTAAAGACCAATTCATACCAGATAGCTAGGCGGCAGGATACCGATACACACATTAATCCTTGTTTACCAAGGTCATGAACAGTAATGCTGTGTCTTAATTAACTGCTAATCTCGTCTCTATGGATCATCGATCTCTCTCACTGTGTCTATGAGTGTTGGGACGGGGAGGATCTAGCTCAAATCAATCGCACATCATGTCTTATCTTCAAATTCATTATTAATTAATTAATTATATTCCACCTTTCGCATCAAATTCCTTGGTCTTGGGCTTGAGCTGGCCACAATTCCAAACACTTATTAACTTTTTCTTTCTTGGGTTGTTGGCCGTAAAGTACGAACCTAAACCATGGTGCTTTTTTTTTCCACGTTATTATCACCGGATTAATCTTTATCTCCAAGAAAAGTATGTACGTTTCTTATTTGCTTTGGTGATGAATGCAAGTTATTCAGGCGATCGAAATTGTCATGGACTACATATGATTAAGGTTTCTCCACAACGTGGAGGAGGATTGATTGTATGTTAACTTATTTATATTTGTCTCAATGACGAAGTGAGGGGCCAGTAAAAAAATTGAATGTAATAATAAGAATTTGTTGCAAACGTTTCGAAATTAGATCTAATAATCTCTCCTCCAAAATTACATGTAAAGGGGGCAAGGGGCTGAGAGGTGGGTAAAGGACTAAAGGTCAAGGATAAGACATCTGGGCAGATAAGACTAAGTTAAGTTAAAATTCGTTGATTAGATAAATAGTGCGAGAGAGTATTACTTAGTTAGACTAAAAAGCTATATCATATCGTGTGTAATGAGCGTATGTGCGGAGCATAGTTATGGCATATATACCTATTTCGTACCGATATCAAAAGTTGACAAGCTCTAGCAATTCCATCAAGAAAATTATATTCCCACCATTACTAGCTAGCAAGTCAAAATTTACGATTTTTTCGGCTAATATTCTTTTCCCAATAATTCCGACTAATGTTTTCAGCTAAATTAAAGGTTAAAATGAAATTTGTATTGTAAATAAATTTGTACGAAAAATAAATAAGTACAAAACTTATAACATAATTTTTTAGAAGGAAAAAAATAGATGTTTATTATTATAGTAGTAAAGCTTCGTTATAAAATATATATATAGGTGTACTTATATGTAGATACTCACGCATGGAGATGGAAACTTTAGAAATGATGAATGCGCCCTTTTTTTGTATGATATGAGGTGCAAAGAAGGCGAAGATAAATGATGATAAAGAATAAAGAAGATCCCTCCCACCCACTTTAATTAGCATTAGCAAAGCTGATTTTGACCCCTTTGCTTGCCTTATGCGGTTTGTTCTTCCTATATACATATAGTCCAAAATTTATGACTTGGATGCCAAACACGAGTAATGTGGACGAGATTTCTTGATGACAAAATTTGTAGAGGAACTTGGTCGATGATGTATGTGGACGAAAACCAAAGTCTTCCATTGAGTTGTGAAATTCTCCAAATTTAAGCAAAATGGCGGTGGTTTTTATTTCTTTGCCGCGAAAACCTATATTGTAATGCTCGAAGAACTCATAAATTAATCATGATTCTCATCCTATAAACCCATTTCAAAAGCCTACTTCTTATCTTTTTTGCTGCGTTTTAACAGTTTTACTTAGACTTTCTCGTTAGGGTTTTGTTGGGGGGAAAAAGTTAAAAATTACAATATGTAACAGGTATGAAGCATAAAAGTCTAAATTTTTTTCACGTTTTAAAGCTAGATTTTGACTACATTAAGAGGAATACAATTGCGGACAACTTGGGACAATTGTAAATGGCCTCATTCCATTGGCTGAAATAATATAGCGATACTTAGCTTAAAAGCCACCACATTTAGTAGGACACTCAAACCTGGTGGCGTAGCATGAAATTTATCTAACGTAGGTCTTGTGTGAAAATAACATATGGATTTCATAATGAGTTATCATATTCTCAAAAGTTTCTAAAATACATTCACCATGCAAATTACGAGGGTAGTCATTCGTAAGGTACTCCATTGAAAAATCATTCATGATTTCATCGCTCATCTGATTATGAAGTGTTTCTTCGCGTTCTTCATTGTAGTAAGTGTTATTTCAACAATTGCAGTGAGTAGTGAGAACTGATAGCAACAGATCACAATACTAAGTTTTGAGTTCTCGTTTATATTAAACTAAGTTACAAACTTTATTAACTTAAAATTAAATAGATATATCACATAACATTACGTAAAAGTTGTTTGCAATATTAAGAATATCTTGTGTCGAATTCATAATTCTACTAGAAATGAGTCAATCTAGAAATGAGTCAATTTGATCAATTGTTTCGTTTGGATGGATCAATCTAGAAATGAGTCAATTTGATCAATTATTTCGTTTTATAAACGAGACAATTAAAACGAGTCAATTCGAATTACCTGCCCCCACCCTAGGTATTTTAAATTGTCTCAAAATGGGTTAATTCAAAATACCTCAAGCAGATTGATCCATCCAAAAATTTTGCTAACAAACGAGACAATTTGGTACAATTGTGTCAAAACGAGACAATTGTGTCAAATTGATCCGTTACAATTCCTCATCCAAACGATCGTACATTTTCTGGAGGCAAAGGTGGTACGTACAAAGGACCTCCCTTGATTCTTGAGCTCAAGTGGCCTCGCCACTGCTCGGTGGTCACACCCTGGAAAATCAATCAAATCCCTTTTGTGTCTTCAAATAAGAAGGAAACACGGCTAAGGGGAACTATTCTTATTTGGTCACCTTTTTTTGACATGCCAAATGAGGGATAAACTATGTAGTGTAACAAACAAATCTGTTCAATCAATTTACACACTCGATCGATCGATTCCATCCCACACACGCATGCACAAATCACATCAATCAAAATCCCCCCACTCAAGCAGCTAAATGCTGATTTTGATAGGAGCGGCGGGGGGTTTCACCCAATCAATCGATGCTTACCCTAATTGACAGTACATGCATGTTCACAATTGGAGGGGATTGTGAACCAAGGAAAGAGTATTGCTATGTCATGAGCTTTTTTAGTGCACTAATTGCCACTTCCTCAATTATTCATGATCAAGAGACTCTATGTTGTTACGAAGATTGACTTAATGGTAATGTCATTAGTTTTGAATTTGGAGGCATCGAATTTGAATTCGTTAAGTAGTATATATATTCACAAAATATATAATCACAAAAAATTAAGTAAACATATATCACCCTTATATAAAAAAAGACTTTATATTGTTGGTTCGTAATTTAACTCGTTTCATTTGAGATTAATGATTACTATATAGTTTTATGACCGAAATTATGGTGTGAATATATTCCAGATGAGTACAACACTTTAAATACTTATGTTGTTGATATGTCTTCCTGTTTACCAATAATGAACATACAATATATATGGTTTGTCTATAATGTACATTTTTTTTTTTAATCTTTTTGGAGATATAACGCAATACACGTATATACCCAAAATAAAAGGTGAAACTATATTGATTAAGTTTGATATTTCTATCCGAGATTATACATAGAGTAGGCACAAAAAGTTTAGAGCAACTCGAACATCATTATATATAACAATGATACACCAATCATTGCATTGATTCTTGTATGTATTATCATGTATACCATCTCAATACTGTCTTCCTATAATTTGACTTAAGACAGAATGAACAGAAGTAAGTAAAAAAGGGGGGAAAACCAAGATACATCTGCAAAATTACAAAGAGGTACCCGCAAAAGAAAGTTATCAATCAAACGATTCAACTGTATCACTATTGGTACCACAGGTACGGACGCAGATTTTGCATCCCCGCCACCTTCGCACGTGCGCCCCGCCGTCAGCCAATTTCCCTTTGGCCTTTCGCCTCTCCGCACGCTGCGTTTTGAACTTTTTGCCATTTATGCTTTTGTTTCTTCTTTTTTCTTTTTTATTTATTTATGAGTACCAAAAATTCTCCATCCCTCCTCCTCCAAGCCAATTAACCCAGCGCACCGTTTCCACTTTCCACGTGGCACAAGCATGTGAATGTTTCCCCCCTGATTCTGTGGGGCCCGCCTCGACTCCTTTCCCTTTCTCATCTTTTCCGCCGCTCCCTCTACCGGGTCAGCCCCGCCGCCGCCATGGCGGGCAGAGGAATCCCCACCGCCGCCGTGATCTCCTCCACCGCCATCGCCGTCGAAACGAGATCCAACTCCCGGTGAAGGAACTGATCCACGATCGCGGTGCTGGGACCCGACACAAGCTCCTCCCAGATCTCGTCGGATTCAGCCGACCCGCTCCGGCGAAGAAAAACCTCCGTGGCGTCGACCCGGTGCATGCTCCAGTTCCACTGGCTGTTCAGCCGCTGGATCTTCTTCAACTGCCGGCAAGCCAGAATACACGTGTTCTCCTTAATCTGCTCAATCGCCGCCTCCAGGAGGGCGGCGCTGCGGTTGCCGGATCTAAAGTACTCATCCAATTCGGGCACGCCGATCGCGCGTCGGATCCCGCGCGTGTAATCCCTATCGGTCGGGTCGAACACGGCCCGAACCTCCTCGACCAACCCGGCCCTGACCATCCGGTCTACCCGGTCGGAAATAAACGCGTAGAGAACCGGGAGCGCCACGTCGACCCAGAGGAAGCAGAACTCGTAGCGGGACCGGAAGTCAACGTCGTGGTTGACCAGCGCCTCGACGAAGGAGTTGGACCCGCCGGCGACGATGGGGAGGCGGTCGCGGGCGAGGATGGATTCGGTCAAGAAAGAAGCGTGGCGGCAGAAGTCGGCGGCGGTGAAGTCGGCGAGCGGGTCGGGGACGACGCCGAGGAGGTGGTGGGGCACGCCGCGGCACTCGCCGTCGGTGACCTTGTTGGTGGCGATCTCGAGTCCCTCGTAGACTTGCATTTTGTCGCAGTTGACCACCTCGGCGGGGAAGCGGGTGGCCAGGTCGATCGCCAGCCTGGACTTGCCTGTCCCCGTGGGACCCACCACGAACACGACCTTCTCTTTCTTCCTGCTGCGGAAGAACGACGTCGTCGAAGTCGGCGGCGGCAGCGGCAGTGCCGGCTCCATCCTGAACGACGACGACTTCTGCGCGAAATTCATGCTCGGGAGCTGCACTTGCTTGCACGCCCCTGCAGATAACCTTGTATTCATCATCATCGTCGTCGCTCTAATCAACTGCAGCTATGAACAGGAATCCTGGGTTCAGCTCGGAGCAACCAGAAGCCACAAGATAGTTCGAGTTTGCTTAGACGATGATGCGCGTATATATAACTTGATCCGCTTAAAGGGGAAATTGGGAATGGAGATTGAAGAGAGGAGACGACTAGTGAGGTTTGGGAGAGTGGACAAGAGGTATTGGGGAATTGATGTACAGAAAGGAAAAGTGAGGAATATATGAAGAGAGGGAAGGTGGAAGGATGATTGAGACAAATGGGAAGGAGGGGGAATTATTTTAAATGAGTCGTCTTCACGGAGAATCAGTGTTTGTGAGCTTGGTATTTATAGCAAACAACAAACGCTGCACCAAGAAATATGTTTTTTTTTTCCTTCTCTCTCTTCAAAAAACTCGATACAAATTATACGAAAGTTAATTAAGACGTAAGGGTGATACGATGTGTTTTCGAATTAGATTTTTATTCTCGTAATTCAAAATAATGATATCTTTGTATAAGTTAATAGTCTGAGACGTATATGTCAAGAGAGTTCCAATTGATACTTTTTTTTACATAATTTGTTTTTTTTTTTTAGTTGGAAGAAATATAAGATAAATTAGTCAACTAGAATCATGGGTAGAGGGGGGAGGAGGGTGGGAAATGGGGCCCGCACATCCCTGTTGCAATGCCTAGCTGGAAAAGGTCGATGCTGTTCGTTGAATTGGCAGTATGCAGCCAATGCAAGTTTTTTTTTTGGCAGTGTTTGCCTTGCAAATGTACCTATTCTTTTACTATTATTAATTTAGGGTAAATACAATTTAATATCCAAACCTTTTATTTTAAACAATATAATAGTCTAACCTTTTCGAAAACAATCTAATATTCAAATCGTCAACTTTTTTTCTGTTTGACCGTTAGTTGACACTTCAAAAAAGTTCGAAGTACGACACTTCATCAATATCCATCGATATCTTCTCTGAAAAACCACCAACATATCGTAGTTCCAAACCCGAGAAGTCTATAACTCCACCATGATGGTATAGAATATCTAAATATTCAGTCATCTGCAATGCCAAAACAAGAAAACAAAGTTGTATTGTGACAATTTCCCCTAAACAAAGCTTTTTTGAAGTGTCAACTAACGGTCAAACGAACGGAAAGTTGACGATTTGGATATTAGATTGTTTTCGAAAAGGTTTGGCTATTATATTGTTTAAAATGAAAGGTTTGGATATTAAATTGTATTTACCCATTAATTTATTATAGCTTTGTTTTTCTTCAAAGGGGAACTTATACTTATCTGCAGCACAACTCTGCTCAATCATTTGCAGCCGCAACAATGGAGATTGGTCTGAATCTGACTGATCCCATCACTTTATCATTTCCCCAATCACTACTCTAGCTAGTACTGTTTTGAGTTAGCCACATCCCAAGTTTGAAATGATCACTTGATTACTGGGGAGTGAGAGAAAAAAAAAATTGAAAAGAAAATAATTTGGTTAAGAGTTTTGTTAGATTTAGGGTTTGGGATGTTTTCCAATATATTTGTACCTTAGGAATTAACAGGAACATTATCCTAAATCATTATCTCAAGTCTCTCTCTTGTTCTCCCTCCCCAATACCTCTAGATTTTGTCGTTTCACTTCCATCTAATTTCTTCCTCGTCCTTGATTTGTTTATTTCCCCAATTTTATCAAATTCTCCTCTAATTTTATCTTTCTATCAATCAATCACGCTCGGATGTTAAGATTAGAACCCTCGTCACCCTTATAGAAAAAGGATGAGAGCATTGCAAGACAATGAGAGTAATATGATTTCAAAATCCGATGAGAGTGTGCCCGCCCTCTGCCGTTTAAATGTAGAACTATGTTCCCGATCTTCTTTTGGAAACAAAGAGTTCACATAATTCAAACGAGCAAATCCATTTCCTTTATACAACATAAATCATCATCAACAACAACAAAAGATTAACATAGGAAGACTAGCTAGCATATGTGAGTCATCATCACCGTTTCAAGAATTTGGCTTGAATTTTAATTTGCTACAAAACCCAAATAAACAACACATGTGACTATGTGTATGGTCAACAAAAAGCAGCAGGAGGAGGAGGATGGAAGGATTCCCCTCTCAATTGTTCAATCCAGCACAATATGTTGATTAAATTAAAGTACTATAAACACTATGAATCCACCTCCCAAATAAAAAAGAACAAAACTTGACATTGGCTGCCTGCAGCCTGCATTACTAGTAACTTATCAATTGATTAAACAACAACAATATGTGGGGAGGAGGGAGTATATATGTGGTGAGCAAGTTTTCAAGAAAGCAGTGGGCTAAACAAAAAGGAATTCCCTTTTCCAGTGGGTTTTGAATTGAACTTTCAATTGATACCTAAAAATAAAAAATTTGAAAAGAAATTAGGGAGGAAAAGCAAGACCATTAAATTAAGTTGATATGACATGACAAGCTAACTGATTCCAATACCTCCAATACAACTCATGCCTATTAACCTTGATCTAATTTGGAGCATAAAGTAGAACTAGCTAGTAGTACTAATTAATCAATCATCAATCTCTTCATTTTTCTGTGATTGAACTGAAATGACACTATCCTATGTTTCTTTTGATATCATACCACAAAACCACATAACCTAGTAACATTGTCCACAAATGACAAAAGCCTGATCAATTCGTTAGTAATACGTTTTCTTTAATTTTGTTTGTGGAGATCTAATCAAAGTTCATGTAAACGTTTTCTCTTTTAATGGTAGTTGTCAACCAAACCCGTAATCCAAACACAAGCATGGTGACTTTCATCATTTGCAAGGATAGGTTGGATTAAGATTGTAATAAATAAGGAGGTAAGAGCAAGAAACATGACGAGATATAAGATGATCAGGGTTCAACATGTTTTTGCTTCTTTTTTCCTCGCTTGATTAACTTCCTTAAAGATTATGGTATGCCTTGATCTATGCTATACACTATGGTTCCTCTCTTGTTTTTTTCTTTCATTTTTCATGCTCTTGTTTCATATTGTCAGAAGAGGAGAAGACACATGATATAAGTATTAGAAGTCAAATATATGAACCGTTGTCGGTGATTATGAACGAATTTCAGCTCCGTAATCTCAAACGTAACCCCCCGTTTTACCTATACATAAAAAAAAAAATAGGATATGAAATACATCCATCTAAACCATCCTCCTCTTGTTTGTTGCCATCTTGCTTCTGAATTTTGTTCCTCAATAACCTAAAATATCCCCGAACTAAGTATTAAAATTTCAATGATGACATGACACATGAGATTCTTAGTTCTTCAAATGAAGGGGAAGAAACCATAAAAAAGTATGCAAAAATAGCAAGTTCTTAATTTCTTCTGCTTGTACAAGAAACTGAAAAGGAAAGGGCGGTTGTTTAACAATTAACGTAAGGTTATATACCGTTGGTGTGGTTTGTAAAGTTAACTATAAAAAATGAGAAGAAAGGCAATTTGGTGGTGGCAATGGGTGGGGGGGTCTATGTATCACAAAGATAAGTTAGAAAATAATTTTTCTAAAAGAGATAGAAAGACATTCATAGTAAAGAATTTAATTATGTGAGATTATAGTTGGCCCCTCCTAATTCCCTAATTGCTATTTGATAATTTGTCATCTTTTCTAAATGTAAGTGTCATTAATAGCATGTAAAAATTTCCAATTTAGAGATAAATATATTGATATTTTATAAAAAGAGGTTTTGGAGCAAGAGACTTGTTCAAATTTTCATCTTCTAGCTAGCTCTAGGGTCCTAGTTGTTTTAAATCTTGAACTCATTAGGGCTGAATGATCAAAATATTGAGTCTAACTTGAAGAAGGCGTTAAGATGAGCGTGAGGCGAGAATCAATTCAATTGAAATACATCTTATTTCTTATAACAATTCAAACGAAAATCTTTAGGATAATATGAATTATGAGATTTAGTGATCGGCTTATACAGTCGAAATCCAGGAAGAGAGAGAAATAGCGGAAAGTAACTTCTAACTAATCCTAGTTTACTTACTATCTAATTAGACAATGCATGTATCTTGAGATAAAAGTTGAGATTGTTCAATTTGAAAAATAACTTATGTCGAATCAAACAAAGAATTTATGAATTGTGCATAAACAAAAACAAAACAAAGAATCATATGTATTCTAAACAGTTTGTGTATTGTATCAATCTTATAAAAGCAATCACAACTTACACACGATCCTTAGTTCATGTAATTGCATTAACTCTTGCCTCCTAAAAAATAAAGGTTAGAAATGTCAACAATTTGTATATGTTCACGAATCACGAAAGCCTCTAATTAGGGGTTTGAGATTAGAGGCCCAAATTAACACGGGGAAGAATTCAAGAAAGAGAAATTTGATGATGAAAATGGAGGAAATTAAAAGAGGCATTTTCGATCACTAGCTACCTGCACTGCACAGAAATCAGAAGGGCAACAGCACAACATTATGATATATTATGGGATGATTAGAAAGGTGATTAGTAGTTAAGATTATCTAAGGCTCCAAGTTGACAACTACACTACAAATCGAAGGGTTATGCACAAAAGCCATATAATGCCCCAGACAAAACAAATAATTAATAATATATTGTCAAAAACTCAAACCCACTTCACGATCAGACTTCAACTAGTCTCCTCCTCCATCGATCGAATTCAAATGATAAAAAAAGTGAAGCCACTAAAGAGACACAGAAAAATGGAATTAAAAGGCGGATTGTACCATATAAATCATAACAAATATGATAAATTTTGCATGATGTAACATAATGTAATCAGGTCCACCTTTCATATCGGCCATGGTCATTGGGTTTTATCAAATTACTGCTCATGGCTCAAAATATTCAAAATTCACCAAAAAAAAAAAATTTAATTTATACCCATTAGCTAATAAGACAACTATTGAGTTTTTTTTAATCAATCCTATTAATGCATAATTTCATAACACTAGTCCGCTATCAAACTATTCTCTCCTAACATGAAAAATCTCTCAATGGAGCTCGATATCCAAACCCTTTCTGCCCAGTCATAGTCTTTAAATACATGCTCTTAAGTTTTAGTCGGTCTACAAAAATGGACATTCGTCACAAATTTTGTGAAGAAGATGGATATCGAGCTCCATTGGGAAGAAAATGGACATTCATCACACATTCATCACAGTATTAGTCGATCTACAAAAGTTCTAGTCTTTAGTTACTACCACTCATTTCCAGCAGCAAAGAAGAACAAATACATACTCATGGGGGCTGCTAGGCATCAAACCGTGATAACTTCCCTATCCTCTGTGTTTCAACTAAATCAATTCTTCTTTATGATCACAAAAAATATCTTAAACATAACAAATTGTAGAAATTTGAAACCGAAAACACACAACACAATACATGATTGATTGTTTATAATATGTGTTTGTGGTGGAAACATATCAGCAAATAGCGAAATATAAAATACGTCAATTGGATTGTGTGATATTATAATACTTTTTTGTGCTCTCATTTCATGATCATAATGGTTAAGCGTGCGTGTACGGGCCGGGGAGTGCAGCGAAGGGGAAAATATATATATATATAATTGAAAGGTCACTTTCGGCATATCAAAATCGGGTTTGTATGTGACTGCGCAATGATGACTTAACTAATGATCACCAAGGGAGGCTAAGTTATCAAAAAGAAAAGGACACGCGCAGGCGCAGCAGCCACCAATCCATTCACTTCACCACATCTCACCTTTTGATTCTCATTAGGGCCGGGTAACAAACAAAACCGAAATCCGACCCAATCTTCGAATCGTCCAACTCAAACCGACTCACCTATGTAATATTCGAGAAAATCCAATTTTATGGTTGGCTGCAGATTATAATTTTCGAAAACTGTGACATTATAATTGGGTACGGATTTTGATGGTTACAAATCAAGATTACATAGTTATAATTGATAAATTGTAAAGTCAAATATTTATTAAAGTGTTCACTATGAAAAGGATTATAACACAAGATTTATGTGATTTTCCTGTTTTGTGATATCGGCCAGCGAAAATTGCATCCTCGTAAGTCTCAAACTACAATAACAACGGCCCTTTATACCCTTCCATGTGGAATTTAGGGCTAGGTCTCGGCTAATTGCTACTCAGTTCACATAATTATAAATAATGTAATTTGCAATCACAATCTGCTAATATATGAAAGCCAACTCATAAATTTGAATTTGAAATTCAAACATGCCGATTATCACGTATTTAATATATTTTATATATCATTCACAAAAAAAACAATACTCTTAATATCCTCAAGAACACGTTATCTCAATTCCTTTAGCTACTACAAGACAATATTCAATATAGATTTTATAAATATTTCGGACGGTAAAACCAAAATTAAATACTATGTACTTAAATCAAGTGTTAATAACTCAGATTGTTCACTCCGCGGTCCTACACACATTTATCTTATATCTTTGATTCATGTGATGGCGCTGCTCTACTCGTTCTTTTGACCCGTGCCGCCGATGAGCTACTACGAGAAAAAAAAGAAGCAGCTTTTTTTGTGGGTGGGTCTCTGCATACTTGATTGTGAACTCTGAATTCGAAGGCCTAATATGATGATTTCAATCAATGATGAAGTCCACTAAGCCAAGCCGTTATCAATTAGTTTATATAACTATCCTTTCAACCAAAAGAAAAAAATGGAACGATATCATGTGGTGCATGCCAATCATGGGAAATGCACTATTTTAGTGCTCTTTTATAGGTCAAGTCCTCAAGCAGTTTAGTACTTTAGTAAATAGAAAATTTTGGATGACCCTTACAATTATCTACCTACTTTTAAGTCCATTCTAAACAAAAGTGGTTTTCATGATTGAGAATTCTTTTCAGAGAAGTTTGGTTTTAGACTACAATTGGGGTTTAATCAATCAAGAATAAGCTCTCCTTTTTCACCTATTGATTGCTTTCCAGCTCTCTTAAGAAGACACATAAAGTGTAATTCGTGAAGTTATGGTGCCTATCTTATAGTAGTGGTTTGGTCGCACGACTCAGTCTGCGAGAGTGAGTCGATAGAGAGATTGGATATGAGAGAGTGAGTTCGTTGGTTCTTAGAGGAGAGAAATGGATATGAAAGGGGCAGCAATCATACGTGGTAAGTTTTAGTTTCCAAAATTACTATGAAACAATCTTGACCATCAATTTGAAAAAGAGAAGACAAAAGGAAAAATAGAGTTAGGTTTACACGAGCGTACACGTAAATTTAATTCACAGTAACTTGGTATGAGTTAGAGCTCAGTCTCTAACATCATGTATGTCTTATCCCCAAACTTTGACATTCTATAGCATTTTGCGTTAGAGATGGTTTAACAAGTTGCGTAGAGTGGACACCCTTTTTTTATATTTATATTCTGGTAATCGAATTGGTTTACTAGCTACAATGTTGAGACCTCTCATGAGTTAAAAAACGAGCCAGCTTACGAGTTGACTTGAACAAGCCACCGAGTCAAACCGATTCGTGAGCTAAACTATACTTAGCTCAAACTCGACTCATTAGTAAATGAGTCGAGTTTCGAACGAATTTCCCCGGAACCGAACGTCAACCTGCACGTGAACAGTTCAACTCCCCTACTAGTCAGCAAGCAATCTCTTAGGCCTAACAAACGACAAAACGAATGTGAAAAAGAAAACTTGGCATAGCAAGCAAGCATTCACCCTCGTACTTTTAACCTACTACTAACATGGGTGCCTGTAGCCTGTAGGTAGGAATCAGTTCAGTTTGTGGGGGAGTCGAAGCTAGTCCATTCAGGAATTGCGGTGCTGGAAGACTAATGTGCCAACTTTACCAGGATATGTGCTCAAAAATGGCACTTTTCTACACCGAATTAATACCAAATACTCTGTTCTGAAATTCTACAAATAGCCATTTTAGCTGGACGCCAATCAACCAGATTATTAGCCATTATCATCACCGGTCACCATCCCGAAAATGACCTAGCTAGCCTGCCATAACCACATATATGGCTTCTTGTCGTTTTGTTGGCCAGCCTTTTAGGAGACAAGGAAGACTACGATTGTTCTCATCTACACATTACCTAAATATGCTATGCTACATACAAATACGTCGACATCCAACAACATCTCCACAAATGGTTCTCGACATGATATCTGAGCTTGTGATAACGAATCGAGAACCAGTTGATCACTTCTCTTTGACTTGATATCCCTTACTTTGCTATGAAATCCATCAATTTGGGCCAAAGCCCATTAGACTTGATACCCTCCAGTATGTTGTCCCAGTGAAACGGGCCCATGCGGGCGTTGTATGGACTGGCCCAATCCGTAGCTGCACCAGCGGCCCAAACCCAAGTCACTGGATTCACGGGCTGACGGGCAGCGAGTTGCTCACCCACCGGAGATTTCAAAATGGATAGAAATCTGAGGAACTTTCTGACAGAAATGGAAGCGCGGAGTGGACTGACTCAGTAGTTTTCATCTTCTCCATTTGTGAACGAAGGGAAGGGCGGACGAATACCACCAGTCACTGAAGCGGTCAGATCCGTTTTTGTGTTCACCTTCGTCCAGCTGCTGATCTCTCGACGGATGAAATGAATACGGTGGTGGCGCAGCGTGGGAGGTTTCGGATTTGATTTGATTTGGACATGAATCTCTCATTATCTTCTCCCACTTCTCAATCGTCTTCCTCGTCTCCGTCCGCATCTTCGTCTTCCGCCGGCGGCGGGGCAGCCTCATGGTTCTCCGGCATTGTTCGCGGCCGTGCTGATAGGTCCGCGAGCATGAAAACGGCCGGTAATTTGCCCGCTGCCGAGAATGATGGACCGATCAAAGGCAAGAACCAGTTCCGCGGTTTGATGTTCAAGTACGGTCCCAAGGCGATTCAGGTAATTGCTGGAGCCTGGAAGCCTGAGATGTTAATATGTTGTTGAATTGTCAAAATCATGTTCCCTGGCCGAAATTGGGGGTCCGGCGAGTAGGTAGTAAGAGCAGGTTTCGCAGTTAAGTTAATAGGTATGGATCTGGTGTTAGATGAAGAAAGACTATGTGCAAATCAATTCATTGTTACTTATTAGGTGTTACTTGGTGAATGGTGACTGTGACCAAACTGTGCTTCCAGATTCTTGGCCTCCTGGATCGTAATCTGGATTGTGCTGAAACTCTTATTCATAGCCATATGCTTTCCTGGAAGATGGGAGTGTTTGCCTCTAGGGAGTCTTAACTCTCAGCTTGATGAAGTTTCCGCCTTTCTGCCATTTCTCTTCTTTTAGTTAACAATGAGAACTACTATAGCTTCTAATTTCTTTCTTGTTGGTGCTTGTTACTGTTTGCTTTACCCGGGACACCCTATTTATGAATGCACTGAACAGATTCGCCATGATGTTCGAATGACTTTTGTAGTTTGGCTTGCTTGCAGGTTGCATTCAAAACGGGGGAACATAAACAACAAGTCATTTTCATTGGTGGATTGACAGACGGTTTTCTTGCAACTGAGTATGTATCAGCATGTTTAATTCATTCTTTGCAATACATCTCCCCTCTGCCAATATCTTTGAAAGAAAGGGAGACGAATTGTCATTGATTGTTTGTGGATAGTTTAGTTACACTACACATATGAAGGACGGACTAATGGGACTTTGGAGTTACTGACATCACTTTCTTCATCTCATATTGGGCTTTTAGATATTTGGAACCTCTTGCAATTGCCCTGGATAGGGAGAAATGGTCTCTTGTTCAGTTTCTCATGTCATCGTCATATAGTGGATTTGGCACTTCCAGCTTAAAACAAGTAAGCATTGTATTTATCATAGGGTACTAATTAATGTGTTCGTCACTAATCCCCTGATTGTTTTCCTTCAAGTAAAATGCTCTTTTTCCCCCCTTTTTTATCTCATGCTTGGTTATTGTATAATCAAGGACTCCACGGAGCTAGATCAGCTGATAAGTTATTTCATCAACAAAGAAAACTCTGAGGGAGTGATTCTTCTCGGGCATAGTACTGGTTGTCAGGTATTACGTAATTTGAGGCATGTAGCCTGTAGGGTGCATTTGAAGCTTCCTTTTTCCCTTTACACATTTCTTGATGCAATATATCTTCTGTCTTTATGTTACATGATTTAGGATATTGTGCATTACTTGCGTTCCAATGCTGCATGCTGTAGAGCAGTACGTGGTGCCATTTTGCAGGTAAGATATCTAGTTCCTCAAGAGTACACAGGTTCAGAACTTTTAGCACAAATTTATGTTTAAGAGTTAAAAGCAGGCTGTAGGTGGTGTTCTCTCTTGATACTACACTCTCTGGTACTAATTAATGTACTCTTCCAATTCCAATCATCAACAGTCATCCACTTCTAATTTCTTAACTACCCTGGTGCTGCTCCATCTCTTTCGCGAATGGCATACAAATGTACTCTGTTTGCAAAGCTTTTACTTACTATCCGAACTCTTCTTCAGGCTCCAGTTAGTGATCGGGAGTACAAAGCAACTCTACCTGAAACAGCTGCTATGATTGATTTGGCTTCATCTATGATAGCAGAAGGCAAGGGATCAGAATTAATGCCCAGAGAAGCTGATCCCTGTGCTCCAATAACTGCTTACAGGTTCCCCTTTGAATCCGACCATGGTTGTGATGCATTCATCTGTCTCGTGATAGTTTAGAGTTTCCTTCAGGGTCTCTGGGGGTAGCATTTGCTACAAACAAGGGAGAAAGAGATTTCTTTTTTCAGTTATACTAGAAATGAAGAAGTGTTCTTGGATGGGTTTAAGACAAGTTGAGCTGGTTGGTTGTGAGATATTTCTTAGTAATTAAAAATAATTGATGAAATTATAGAGAAATGCTCCCCCTCTCTTCTTGTGGAAGATAAATTCTTGAATGACAAAGAAATGCGCGAACTTTTAGAAATGTCTATTATGGGGGATAACCTTAAGAAATAGATTCCTATTTTAAAGTGACAAAGGTAGAAATGAAATTTTGTTAGGTATATGGTTTTGAGCTATTAAAGTTATGGGATTTAATGTGAATCATTGTTCCAAGAAGTTATATGGAGAAAGTGTGTTTTAATTCAAGTTTTTTGGCAAGTTACTTAGTTGCTAGTTGAAAACAAACTTACCCTTCATGTATATAAAGTGTTGCCTAATTATTTGCTACAGACACATTCAGGACTTGGTATATCAGAAACTTCAATAACTATTGCCACTTTGCAGGTATCACTCCCTTTGTTCCTATATGGGCGATGACGACATGTTTAGCTCTGATCTGAGCGATGATCAACTAAGACTCAGGCTTGGGCACATGTGCAACACACCTTGCCAGGTATAGAATCTGAATCTGAAGATGTACTCTTTTTGCCTGTTTGGCTATTGTTCAATGATAGTAATTTTGAGTTTGTTTGGTTGATAATAAGCAGGTTATCTTTTCGATGGGCGATGAATATGTGCCAGAATATGTCGACAAAAAAGCCTTGGTACAAAGGTGAGAGACTTGAAGTTGTTGTTATGAACTTGCGCAGAAATGCATTCCCCTTTTGATTTAACGAGACAAAGATCTTATTTTCATCCATTGCGGGGATGGGGGGAGGAACAGGCTGTGCAGAGTAATGGGAGGGGCAGGGAAAGTTGAAATCGAGCATGGGAATCACTCACTTTCGAATAGAGTCGATGAGGTTGTGAAGGCAGTCATGGATTTCGTCAATGGAGAAGGTCCCAAAGGCTGGGATGACCCATGGGCTTAAGCTAGAGCTTATACAGCAATTACACATCTATTATTTAATTGCCTTTCTTCTTTTCTCCCTTCTTCCGGTTGAAATTCTTTTCTCTTCTCTTGTTGTTTTACTTTTATCTCATCTTCCTGATATCTGTTAGTCTGATGAACACAACTCTGTGGCAAATGCTGAACACTGTAAGAAAAGAAGAAAAAGATAAAAAGATCAGAGGCCATAGTATGGGTTGATTAGCATTGAGGTAGGTGACCACCACCAGCATTCAGTTTTGTATTGAATTGGATCATAAGGAAAACTTATGTGTCTTTATTTGATGTACTCAAGAAAGGCTTGTCCCCTTTTGCTTCTGTCTCAGGTTGGAACGATCGATGCAAACCGATTTCGCCATTTCGGGAGTCAAGTACCAACCAGACAGTAATGATTCTTCGATACCATAGTGCAAGTACTTGTCTTCTTTTGAGTTCTTACCTTGGATTCCTTGGTACGCGAAAGGACAAAGCAAATTTTGACTCTATGGCGTTTTGTTATTGTGCTTAAGCTGTTTATGAATGTAGCTGTAATGTTGTGCCGAAAGAGGGTTGTTGTTTCACTCGTGCTAATATCATTGGCTTGTTCGTCTCTCATACATATTCAATACTAGATTGTGAAAATATTCTTATTTTTCTAAATATTGTCAATGAGATTAATGCAACGGTGTTAGTAGGTGCTGTACACCCGAGGGCCTTCTAATAGCGTGTAATTGGTTGCTTTCTTCCTTCACTTCCGTGTTTATCTCGTCTGGTAAGAAAGCACACGACCGCCGTGTTAGTTGGCTTTTAACGACTAGTTGACAGAGCAAAAGCAGTAAAGAAGAGAGAATGGATGCAAATTCGTGGACTTGTGATTTAGATTGGTTGTTGTTTTGAGGCAGAATGGAATTGGAAAGTGATGGTCTTATTGCGCATTAGGTGGGTGGTTGAGCAGAGCAGGTCAGCCCAAAAGTATTGAAGCGCGTCTGGGTGGGTAGTGGGAGTACGTGGTGGATGGCTGAAGCTCTTGCTTGCCACCGCCATGATGATGAATGGAGAAGATGGCAAGAACACACCTCCACTGTTGGGTAGTCCACGAGCACGAGAGATATAGTTTTGCTATACTTTTTTCGGATAATGGTGATATGGATACAAGTTAAAAGGATTTAAATATGGGACTTTCAAGTTCAATGTTAGTTGTATTATCAATTTACTACTAGACCAAGCTCTGGTTCGTCAAATTCACTATTTGGTACCTTCTTCGAGTCTAAACTAATCCAACCTAGAAAAAAAAAGGTTATAGACCAAACCCAAAAATATAAGCCCACACACCTTGCGCTACCGAACCCCCAAACTTGCTACTTCGCCCCTGAACTCCGACTCGCTGACCGGATAGCAAGATCCAGTAACTTTCGAGACAAATAATCTTTTTCCGACTCCTAGCAATTAGGGCTGGGCATGCGGGTGGATCATCCACGGGTTTGGGCCGACCCACCCGCATTTGACCCGAATTTCGTTAAGTGGGTGGGTCTGTGGGTGGGTGACGGGTTGCGCTGGGAGCCATCCGTCGGGTGGTGGGTGGGTTGTGGGTGAGTGTGCGGGTGACCCGTTCAACCCAACAGCAAAAAGATCAAAGTTGTTGGCGCTAGAGAGAAGAGAGTGGAGACGTTAGATATAAACTCGGACTGCTCCTAGAGTTTGAACCTCAAAGCCAACCTTCCAAATAGAGATCCCCTCTTCTTCCCTTTACTTTTCCCTCTAATTCTTGTGCCTAGATCACCGCTCTTTCCTTTGTGGAATAATTTTTCTTAGTTCTTTGCACCTAATAATTGTCTCAATCTGGAGAAAACTCTTTCATAATAGAATTTCTATCCAATTTAAGAACTAATTCGACATTTTTCGCCCTATTTCAACTTCTTATTTTCCTCGATGATTCTCTTCACCAATTATCATGTCAAATTGACTCCTTTATATTATATACATTGTGATGTGGGTGAACCCACAAACCCACCCGCATCATCCACCATCCGCCCGACCCAATCCGAGACTAAATGTGGGTGGATGGTGGGTTAAAAATTATCAATCCATTTAAGCGCGGGTGGGTGCATTTTATGATCAAAATTTACCCGACTCGCCCACCCCTAGTAGCAATAGCCAATAGGTGGGCTCGCATAGTGGCATTACCTCAAGTATGGAAGCAGCAAGGAAGGAAGAAAAAAACGAGAAATGAGTTTTGCCAACGGGCGTTAATGGCTCCTTTAGTCCTTTCTGATTTATGGAAGAGGCCAGAATTCGGTTGAATTCCCACCCTGGTCCACCATTGTAATTGATTTCCTTGCTGTTTCTGATTGGGAAATGGGAAGAGTAATAAATAATAGAACAGAGATAGCATCTAACGGCAGCGGTGGTAGCACAAGCACATGCTCCTGTGATTTTGCTGATGATGCCGACAACTCACAACGTACTCTTTCCCAATCACGACAAACATACACCTCCACTCTTGGCCCCAAATAAATAAATAAATAAATAAATCTTTTGAGCGATATAAACATGGAAATTGGAATGGTACGGTGTCGGTGCATAGTCCGACCAGATTGTTGTCTACAAGATGTACGACTTTGAAAATTACGGTAAAATGTAGAACCAAAGGTAACCTCAAAGTCCGATGGAGCAATTCATACAGGAAAGATAGAATCAGAGAATGAGCGGAAAATGGATTGATCGAGAGAAACATTGTAGGAGGGGCAGTCTATAGTGAAATCAGAATTCTCTTGCTTTTATAACCATCACATCAGCACAAAGCTAAGTTTCCGCTCGCTCAAAAGTCAAAATAGTCAATATCATGCCGTTTGAATATGTGTTTTCACCTAAAAATTGATTTCATATCATATCGATTAATTACAAGAGATTTAATAGGTTTATAAGGCAAGCTCAACATTGATCATTAAATGAGCTAGTTGGACCTTATTAGGTTGGTTTTTGGGGAATAAGTGGTCAAACACCATCTCCTTGGCCTAAGTATCGATCGCCCCCATGACCTTGACAACTAATGTCGCCTCTCCCCAAGTGGCCAAATACCAAGGAGGTACCAAGCCAACAAGGCAAGACAACAAAATTGGCTAAGTATAGAGCTAACAGGGTACCCTTGCAAGCTTGGTACCAAAACATAAAATTTGACTAAATATGTAGCCAACATGGTACCAAGCTGACAAGGCAGGCTTAGTTCCAAGACATGAAAATTGGCTAAGTATGTAGCTAACAGGGTAGGGTACCTTTGCAAAATTTGGCTAAGCATGAATCCAAGAGGGTACCAAGCAAGCCTTAGTAGCCAGCCAACAGGGTACCAAGCACCAAAGGAGTACTAAGACATGAAATTTGGCTAAGTATGGAGTAAGACTTGGTAGCCAGCCAACAGCGTACCAAGACATGAAATTTGGCTAAGTATGGAGTCAAGGCTTGGTAGCCAGCCAACAGGGTACCAAGTAGGCAAGACGGGCTTGGTATCCAAGTAGCAGGGTACCAAGCTGACAAGCTAAGATGGCCACTTGACAGGGTACCAAGGAGGCAAGGTATGGAGACCTTTTCGGCAGGGTTAGCGTGGTAGCAGGGGATATCAAGCCGATGAGACAGCTTGGGTAACAAGGCCTAGCTAACAAGACGAGGATGGCAAGGCGGGCTAGGTAACGAGAAAAAGATGATACTAAGTTGACATCAAAGGAGCTGAGTATGGAATCATCATGTTGGGATCGTCAAGGAGGCTCGGGTGGCTATAAAGATGAGAAACGAAGACGGAAAAATCTTTCCACAACCAAACATTTAACTCTTCAAGTCAAACTTCATCTTTTTCTCTGCCATGCGGCCATGGTCATAGCCCTTAGTTTTTGTACCTCTCACTGACCCTCCATAGAAGTAGGAGTAATGTAACTTCCTTTGTCCCAAAGGCTATCGAAAACATCAAACACTCTCGTTCAAACATTTTTCAGAGAGGTGTAGAATCGTTGCCCAAAGAAGTCAAGGTACAAAGTATCAATATCTCACACTAGGTTTCCTCGCCGGAAAACAATATGCAACGCCATAAGCCTCCACTTAGGTAGGAAAGCGGAAACCACTTCGAGGAAAGGGGAAAAGCCACAAAGGGGCTACAAAGGCCACCAATAGATGAAAAATCGAAGAAAAATACAGAGCAAATGATAATGGAGCAAAAACGCCAGAAAAATCGAGAGATAAACTAGCGCTATCGTCGGTCACCAAGAGGTGTTGACAACAATGTTGGAGGAAGGATTTTGATAAGTTAGAGAGAGGGGAGACAAATTTGAATTTAGAGAGATAACTAATTGGGAATTTGAATGGAAGACCTCTCAGTTGGAAAAAACTCCGATATCATGTAAATAACTAATAAGTCTAAACTAATCAAATTGTTGGCTAATGTACAATATTGAATTTGATACCACATATTAATTAGTAACATCTACAACACAACTAACATAACTAATGTATTTGCATTTTATTCATACACACATAACTAAACCGATCGACTTATACTAACTCGTGTGCGGTAGAGTAAATTACTTGTTGAGAAACCGGACAGCAACCACAAACAAGAATAGAATGCACAAGACACACGATTTTTACGTGGAAAACCCAAATCGGGAAAAACCACGGGACCTTTGTCCAAGCCACAACTCCACTAGACTTTGGTGGGATTACAAGTCCTCTCTAGACTAGATAGAGGATTACAAATACCTCAAGAACACCCTTCTTGGATCAACAATCAACCATAATATCTCTCACCAACATGGTGGATACCAAGAACAAGAGCAAGACAAAGAGAGGTTTAGAGATACCAAAAGACAGATTCGTACACCTTCTGTCCAGGAGCGATTCCGACGAACTAGACCTCAGAATGACGATCCATCCGGTCAGAATGAAGCCCAGAAAATCGCGAACCCACTGTCCAAATTTCAGGACGATCCAACGGTGCAATCTTCCAGAATGCTCACTTGAGCAGACTGCCCTACTGCAGAAACGAAAAACTCCAGCTCTTTCTCTTCTCTCTTTTTTCTTATCTCTTCTCTTCTCTTTTCTTGATTCTCTCTCTACCAATGAAAGGCTTTCAACTCTTTTCACTTTTGAGTAGCAATAACTCTCTATTTTGAAAATAGAGGATCTTCTAGAAACCAACCAAAACTCAAACTCAAACCGGTTAATCCAACCACCATATGAGTTGGACCAACCCAACAAATCTCCCCCTCCAGCTCATATGGGGGGTAGCACCAAACCTGCTTCATCTCGACAGAAGATATGTTTTCCACTTGGTAGAGACTTAGTCATCATGTCCGAACCATTGTCATCCGTGTGCACTTTGTTGAGCTCCAACAACTTCTCTTCCAAAACATCACGAATCCAATGATATCGAACATCTATGTGCTTCGACCTTGAGTGGAAAGTAGGATTCTTGCAAAGATGGATTGCACTTTGGCTATCACAATAGAGCACATACCTCTCTTGCTTGATGCCCAACTCTTGAAGAAACTTCTTCAACCATAACATCTCTTTGCAAGCTTCTGTCACGGCTATGTACTCGGCTTCTGTTGTTGATAATGCAACACATTTTTGAAGTTTAGATTGCCATGAAACTGCAGCACCTGCAAAAGTCATCATGTATCCAGAAGTCGACTTTCTAGAGTCTACATCACCTGCCATGTTAGCATCGGTATATCCATCAAGTA